AGATATTACCGCCTGATATCAGCGTAACCTCTTTTTTAGAATGGCAACTGATTCTTGCTCATAATTATTCTTAGTCAGCCTTTGCTTCTCTAGACTGCAATTTTTTCTGCGCTTTAAGGGCTTGACTAGTGAGCAAACACGGTAGGCAGAAGTGCATCGTCGCTGCATCTAACTGATGAGTTCGCCTTATGCCAGGAGCCCAGTTTTGTGTACAGATAGCGTTTTTCAATAAACAATACAGTTGTAAGTAGTGCTCAATGTCGTCTTGGTTTTCTGTTCTTGTCTTTGAGGAGCTTATTCACTATGTAAAATATGGAACTGCAGGCACTCAAATAATGGAAGTTTCATAACTACATCATGCACACCAGCGTTACTCTATGCAAAAATTGTGTAGATCCAATTGCAGTGATCCAAAAAAACAGTAGCTATGAGGTACATGGTAATCACCTACATAACTATTTGTTACTCTTTTTAAACTTTAATTATCAGATCCAACGCTGACACCTCCAGTGGACGCTCAAGTGGACCAAACACCGAGTTCCAGCAGCAGAGCGCCACAGAGTGGACCCAGTCCAGATATCCACGAGGACCGGAACCTGCCCCCACCCGCCAAGCGTGCAAAAGAATCATCAATATGGGTCCATTTCGAGAGAACAGGCCAGTATCAGGCAGTATGTAAACAATGCCGCAAGACTGTACGGCTTGGAAAAGAAGGTGGATGCCAAAAGATTGGAACAACTGCACTTCATAATCATATGAAGCGAAACCATCCCCACTTGTTAAAGAGGACTCCTGCTGCGCCAACAGCAACGTCTGCATCAACACCAGCAGCATCATTCGTGACATCCTGTGTTGCAAAATCACCCCAAACCCAGCTGACCTTACTAGAGGCCATGAATCGCAAGCAGTGCTGGACTTCGACGCACCCATTGGCAATGGCGCACAACAAGCAACTGGCAGAATACATAGCAAAGTCAATGAAGCCATTCTCCATGGTTGAAGACCCTGCATTCATAGATTTTATGCGGTTCTGTGTTCCGAAATGGAACATTCCGAGCAGGGGCTATTTTGCAAACTCGGCCATCCCAGCGCTGGAGACTGTCATTGCAGAGGCTTTAAAGGTACAACTTAAAGAGTGCGTGGGGGAAGTCCACCTGACAACCGACATTTGGTCGAGCCGCCAAGTCAATGACTTTATGTCTGTGACGGCACACTGGATAGCTCCAGACTCCAAAGGATCCCTGACCAGAAACAATGCCGTCCTCGACATGTCCGGGTTTGGACAGCAGCATACGGCGTACAACATCGGCAAGAAGCTCGAGGATGTCATAGAGACATGGCTAGTCCCTTTGGGGGTGAAAGTGGGCATTGTAACAAGCGACAATGCACAAAATGTGGTGAAAGCACTGAACGACAGAGGGATGAAGCGCGCACCATGCATGGCCCACTGCCTTAACTTGGTAGTAAAAGCATCGCTGACCAAGTCTGGTGCAGAGCTGGAGGAGACTCTCAAGGCAGCACGTGCCATTGTTGGCCATTTCCGACACTCTGCGAGTGCCCAGAGGCAACTGGAAGCTATCCAACTTCGTCACGGGCTGCCAGTTCACAAACTTCTGCAAGATGTTCCCACGAGATGGAACAGCACATTCTACATGGTTGAGAGACTCTCTGAGCAGCGGAGAGCTGTCAGCGAGTTCTTCGAAGACAGCACGAAGCACTACCTTGCGCCACGGCAATGGGCTCTGCTCAAGGCCATGGCAACTGTTTTGAAGCCGTTTGAGGAGGCAACACGCCTCCTCTGCATGGACACGTCGACGCTGGGACAAGTGTTGCCCCTCCTCACATTCATCGAGAGAACAGTCACCCACACTATGACAGGTGCAGAGCTGGACACCCCGGCCTTCTGCCTTGCGTCATGTCTGCTCAATGAACTGAGCCTCAGTCGACATTTGAATGCTGTGAAGACAGATGTTCAGTACTGGGTTGCTACCCTACTGGATCCTCGTTTCAGGGACACACTTTCCACTCACACAAGCGAAGAGGTTTCTGCATCCCCAAAATTGGAAATTGTGCGAAGCTACCTGCAGCAGAGACTCCAGGATGTCCATAGCCAGGCATGCAAGGACAAGAGTGTGGCTGAATCATCACCCCAGAGCGCCCCCAGCACCTCCTCAGGCAGCTCACCACCCAGTGATTTTCATTCATGGTATAAGACATCGAGCACAACAACTCCCAGGCCACGACAGGAAAGGCGGCAAACCATAACGGTCGTCAAGGCGCAACTTGATGCCTTCCTGGAAGACGAGGAAGTGGAATGCTACAACTCACACAGCAATCCCACCGTCTACTGGGAGAAAAAGCGGTACCTGTGGCCTGACCTGTACACCGTAGCTGTTGGATACCTTGCCTGCCCTCCAACCAGTGTGTACTCCGAGAGGGTATTCAGCTCTGCAGGAGCCATCGTGACCGACAGAAGGAACCGTCTCACACCGAAGAATGTGGCCACCCTCAGTTTCATTCGGATGAACAGGGAATGGATCCCCAACATTCTGCCTGCAAGAGTAGCCAACAGCCTCAGCAGTGCAGCAGAGACAGCACAGGCCAGCGCAGCTGAGGAGGAACTGTCTGAACCGGAAGAGCCTTTTCTGGAAAAGATGATCTTTGAGAGTGGCGACTGCTAAAGTGCCCTTGCATCACTCCCAATAGCCTACAACATACTGTTTCAAGTTGTTAATTTTCCTGCAAACGATAAGCGGCAACTGCAGTAAAACTAAGCACACTACTCAAGGGCCACGACGGAAGAGACAAACCACAACGGTCATCAGTGCACAAGCTGATGCTTACCTGGAAGACGAGGAAGTGGAATGCTTAATTAACTTGCGAAGCAATCTCATCATCTATACTGGAAGAAAAAAAACTACAGGTATAGTCACACTTAGCTACAACAAGCAGTCCGTGGTTTTTCCGTCCTCTAATCGCCGACATAGCAGGTGTGCTTACAAATACGCCACATGCGTATTTGTAAGCACACCTGCTTACAAATACTGTAAGCAGGTGTGCTTACAAATACAGTTATTTGTAAGCACACCTGCTTACAAACACAAATACAGTGAACTTGTTCTTCCAAACTGCGCAACGTTTTGGAGTGCACTTTCTATGTGGGTGCTGGGAGGACAGGAGAACCACGGACTGCTTGTTGTAGCTAAGTGTGATTAGGGGTGTACCTGTACCCTGACCTGTACACCTTAGCCACTGGATATCTTGCCTGCCTGCCAATCAGTGTGTGTACACAGGGGGCGTATCTACCCTGCAGGGGCCGTCAAGATCGTCAGAAGGAACCGCCTCACACTGCAGAATGTGGCCACCATCAGCTTCATTCACATGAGCAGGGCATGGAGGCATAGGCAAGCACAGCTGGAACAGTCTGAACCGCAAGAAACATTCCTGGAAAAGCTGACCTTCGAGTGGCGATTGTTTAAGTGTTAATGAACCACTCCTAGTCCTTTTAACTTTTACTGTTTCGACGTGTTCATTTTTCTGCAAGAGAAGCAGCGAGTGCAATAAAACTATTATTTATTTCTGACAACACTTGCTTGGACAGGTAGTTCCAGGAGCATTGAGTATGGTTAAGCTCCTGCGAGAAATGCAGATTAGTATTCCAGATAGTTCGTCTTGCAAACCACGAACGGCGCACCTGAAATGGACTAAGCCCTTTGTCCGTTTCTTCTAGTATCTGTTGTGTTGCTTCCGAAGATGTGCAACGCATAACCTTTCACGGCCGACTTGCTGCCGAGAGCGGAGAACAAGTGCGAATTAGCGAGGTTTTCCTTTGCCGCCGGTGCCGGAACCGTGCGTGCCGGTACGCGGTCGAAGTTGAGACGAGCAACATTCATCTCGCTCTCGCGCCACAGGTAGACACACGCAGCTCTAAAGAAGGAGGCGAATCATTTCCTTACCTGAATATATTTATTGTGCGCTGCGCCACATTATGAATAATACACTGCCTTTCGCTACATTTTGCCGATCGCCGCGAAATCGCACAGAAACCGAGACTGTGCATTGGTTAGGCCTACGTCAACCACACCGATCAGCTCAGCTGGACCGGTCGCGTGCCAGGGTTTAACAGTGCAGTGCATAATATACGTTGAAATAAACAAGACGAAATCTGGTAATATGCAGTAACAATACCTAAAAAGAAAACACAACTGACCGTATTCGCGAGGTTTACGACAAGTTTCACGCTGTCGACTGCAACCAGCGACGAACCTGACGAATCTCCGAATCTGCCGAATATTCGTCGCGGGAAGTTCGGAAATTTCCGAATCTGTCCGAATCCGAATCTCCGGTGATTCGTCCCATCACTATATATTACGAACATATAAAATAAAATAGAAGATTGAAAATAGAGCAAGTTATTGGAAAGCGCCGAGTGCTAATTCGTCTTCCGGTTGGCACATAAATTTTAAATCTTCCTCCACACCGACTGCGTCAAAATTAAACGTGGCAAATGGTGCACAGAACAGCAGCTACCGTGTGCCCTTTTAAGAGAAGAAATGCTTACGTTAACCATTCTCTCTTTTTTTTTCTTTTTCTAGCAAGATTTATGGTCTCTGATAAAGGTAAGTGCATTTCAATGTACCCAAAGATTACTGAAATAACGATATTGCGCAGGCAAGCTAGTTTTATTTCTTTTTTTTTTTACTATATTTAAAGAAAATCTTTTCATAAACTTGAAAATGTTTCATTAGCTTCAGAAGAAAGAAAAAAAAAACGACGAATAACACTTTTTTAAGAAAAGCGGATTGAGATAATAAAGGTGTATATTACAGATCCATAAGATCAGCCATATGGAACATCCGCACTGATTTGTAAAATTCATTCATTCATTCATTTGTTTATTTATTGTGCTCATGAACAGCTTGAATCCTTGGTAATGATGCACAACAAAATGTTCACAGGTTAGTTACAAAAGTCTTAAAAGCTACGAAATTTGGGTTAAAATGTTTGGTGTTGACATACATCTTGTATGTATGTGATTTTTAGGATTAGATTATGTCTTAGAGTAAAGTGTCCGAAACTTTTGTACCCACCCAAGGTTTGATAGAATCGTAGATAAAGTGTCATGGGCTACAAAAGCAGATTCCACTTATGTGTAGAGCCAGACATTCAGCACAAGTGCAAGTTCACACAAAAGGATAAACATCCACAGTGTTCGAGAGAGTAGCTACCGAAGGTTTGATGAAAGCGGCTAAAAATACCAAGTCGTACAGGTCTATAAAATATTCAAAGCCGATGGGAATCTCGGTGTAGCGTTTCCAGGATTGAAGTATCTCAATTGCAGTGCGCTGTGGACAAAGTGGTCGACTTGGGCGTCAGCGGTTTCCAGTTTTCCAATTTCTGGCCCCTGGTGAATAAGATATTCACAACAAGAGGCCAAAACAGTAAGCTATCTTTCCTCCCGGGCAGCGCATTTGGACGAAACTTGTAGAGTAAGTCAGCAGGCATATTTCGGCTTTTTGATTGGGGGGCAGAAGAATAAGGTAAACACAGCTCCGTGTTTCACGGGTTATCCTTTAACCGGTTCTCGTGTTTGCTTATACGCTTGGGGGTTTCCCCAGGAATTGAAATTATGGGGGGGGGAGGTCTAAAATTTTAGGAAGGGAGGGGAAGGGAGGGGTTAGAGGGGAGGGGCATTGAGAATAGACGATTCGTTGCGAATTAAGGGCACGGTGCCTTCAGAAAAACAAGGGGGGTGGTGGCCCCCCCCCCCCCCTTTCCAGGGGGTGTGTAGGGAAATCACCGCTTACGCTTACCAGGTAGGCAAATCTAAAAGACGGCTATACTTCGTTCACCCCTAAGCTGAGACTACAGTGGAAGCTAGGTGCCCGCCGGACCTATCAGCCGCCTCCCTCTCATCACCTGACCCGGCTCTCCGCGCGTGGGTATGGTCGGGGGCGTGATGACGTGGCGAAAGAGAGGCGCATGGCTGGTCCATCGAGGACGTAGCCTTTACTGCAGTCCCAGCTTAGGGATGAAGGGAGCATAAAGGCCTGCTAGCGAAGTTATCAAGCGTCATTTCACAAGTGTTAATAATCAATAATTGCGTAAACTGCTCATAAACGGCTGCATAAACTTTAAAGTAGGATCGAAAATGGAGGCTCAGCTAGCAGACGAGAGCGAATCAGCCCAGAAACATTGAGGCGCTTTAAAGGCCCGTTCACACACTTACGTTTGCTTCCGACCGAGGCCTTGCGATCTCTTACGACGAGAGTTCACTAGAGTGCACACTGGCACGCTGGCGCCATCTATGAGATGATCTTGGAACTGTATTAACTAGAGCGAAGCATTTGAGCTATTATCAATGAAAATTTTTCGTTTAAAAGATTGTCAAACGAGAGAAAGAATTATGAGCGAGAAAATGGGAGTATCATGGAACGAACATTTGTTGTAATTCTCCAGCGGTTGCCCTTTGCTAGGGCGAGAGAAAAAGGGGGCAATATACGGAAATCAAATCAAATCAAAGTTTATTTAACATCACCAAGTACAAAGTACTAAACAAATGATGTATGGAGCTCTGACAAAAAGCCGCAAGGGTGCGGCTTGACTGGGTCTGAGCCCCTTCTGCATATGCATAGTCCCATTGCAATGTAAAAAAACAAGCAAAAAAGATTCGGCAACAGCACTGGTAATAATACACAATAACAAACGAGTAACGCAACATCAGCATCACTTACTAAATATTAAACAATCAATGCACACGAAGATATACAAGGTGAAACAATAGATCTAGATATATAAACTGCATGGAACATGAAACACTTATTTTTCATTTCTAATTATCAAGTGAATTCAATAAAGATGGTAATGTGTAACATAAAGATTGATTTCCGTAATTCGTACGTGCATGAGGAATGATCCATGTTTCATAGTGACGTGTGTTATAAATGTTAGTGTTTCTTGTTAATCTAGATAATTGTTCTATGTCGTTGTTATTTAGTTTTTTGCGGGCATAGTACCTCTCAAGCAGTATATCATTATATAAAAAGTGAACTGGACGTACCTTAAGGCTTTTAAAAAGCGGTTCGGTATGCGCATCGTAGGGAGAGCCAGTGATAACGCGCGCGGCTTTTTTCTGTAGTAAAAAGAGTTTAGTAAGGTTTGACGTGGTTGTAATCCCCCAAACGAGGTGGCAGAAGTTGATGTGAGAAAGAAACAGGGAATTGTAAATAAGCAATTTTATATTAGTGGGTAGAAAAAACCGCAACTTTGTAAGAATACCTACAACGCGAGAGAGTTCATTAGCAATTATTTCAATATGTTTGTTCCAAACTAAGTGCTCTTCAAATACAACTCCTAGGCTTTTAACTGAGGGCACAATATCCACAGTAGAAGTCCCTATCATGAGGGGGTTCTCAATATTTTCTTTCTGATTTTTAGGTCTGAAAAGTACAGCTTTTGTTTTGGACTTGTTAATAGCTAGTGAATTCAACAGGGTCCATTGGTTTAATTTATCGAGAACATTATTTGCATGATTTATTAATTGTTTAATATCGGAAGAATTAAAAAATAAACTGGTGTCGTCGGCATACATAACAAATTGGGTATCATTATCAATATTTATTACGTCATTAATATATATATTAAATGACAAGGGCCCAAGGATGCTACCCTGGGGTACCCCGGATTGAATCGCTTTGATATCGGACATTTTGTTGTTTATAACAACTTTATGGAAACGAAACTGAAGATAACTTTTCAACAAATCTAGAAATACCCCTCGGAAGCCATAGATATCGAGTTTTTTTTAGTAAGGTAAAGTGGTTTATTCGGTCAAAGGCCTTTGAGTAATCTACAAAAACCCCTAGTGTTAGCAGTTTGTGTTCAATAGCATGGAGAATCAATTCTTTTTGTGTCAGGAGTGCTGACTCGGTTGAACGACCCTTTTTGAAGCCAAATTGAAAGTCTGTGATTATCCTATGTTTTTCACAGAAAGCAGTCATTCTATCATTAATTAATTTTTCTAGACCTTTTGAAAAAACGGGAAGAATTGATATTGATCTGTAATTTGATAATTCGTTTTTGTCACCCCCTTTATACAAAAAGCTCACCTTCGCTAACTGCATACGCTTTGGAAATACGCCGTGTATAAATGACAGGTTATAAATATGTTCAAGTGCAAGACAAAGTAGATCTAGGACGTACTAACTGGACGAATTTGCAAGTCATCGGCGTCACAACAGTTACTGTTACGGAATGAAAGAAACACGTGATAAATTTCTTCAGCATTAGTCGGTCCTAAAACCGCACTTTCACGGTTTCTAGCTTTTAGGTATTCTAAACTACGCGGATCATATGTACTGTTAGCCAGCGATACAAAAAACGTCATTAAAAGAGTCAGCTAGCGCCGTTCCCGATGTTGCTTGGCCATTTAAAAGTAACTCTTGAATACACTGTGGGTGTTGCTGGCCACGACCAAGCACTGTGTTCAGTCTTTGCCACGTAATGTCACTTCGTTTTAGTATGTCGGCATTGAACAGGTTGTGAAGATAATTCCTTTTTGCATTTCTAAGAAAGCTAGTCACTTTATTACGAAAAACTTTGAAAGCATGTGGATCATTTGAGTTTCTTGTCTGTAAAAACCGCCGATAAAGAGCATCTTTTTGTTTTATTAGTTTTAACGACTTGTTCGTTATCCAAGGTTTCCTTGACTTTTTGCTTCTTGATGCCTTGTGACGAAATAATCTTACATAAACCGACTTAAACAAGGTTAAAAACGTGTCGTACGCTTCATCAGGGGTAGTTTTACTATATACTATATCCCAGCATATCTGTGCGAGTTCAGTTCTAATGTTAGTGGAACAATTTCTAATGCCAGGTGTTAGTCCTTAATTCTACCCAATAGATGTTGCCAGTGTGTCCTCTCGTTCAGAACGGCTCTGCTTTCGTCGTTAGAAATCCCAAGAGATTTTAAGGCGGTTCTGCCGTAAGCAGTTGCAAGTGTGTGAACCATGCCTTTAGTCGATAGGTCGACTGCAGCCTTGAGGCTTCCATGAGGCTTGCTGACTTCCACCGGAATGTGGACTTGGAGACAGGCTTACGTTGGCTATACTTTCCACAGCCTCGACTAACAACTACCTGGCCTCATACTGCCTGAACGGCACCCACGGCAACGAGGCCTTCTGTCAGGCACCAGGAAGCATCGCAGGCGCCACGTGCGGGTCTCCCATTGTGTTCGCCGTACCAGCGTCTCCATCAGCAGCAGCCATGGTAATGTACAAACAGTTGTCCACACGGAAACATCATGGCACCTGCAGCGCGTCTCCGACTGGTGTGTTTACCCAATATCTGTGATTTCCCGTGATTCCACAAGCGGCAAACATACTGCAGCTCGACGAGAGTTGCCGCAAGGCGGCAGAAGCGTCCGTCTTGGCGTCACCGTATCTTAGCGTCGCGCTCGTTATAAGACACGGCGAGATGCGCTGGCGGCGACGCTGACGTCAGCTAGGCAGCGCTACCCACCAGTGATGACGTTTGGGGAAGGTACGAGCAGGCCTTGTCTTCTCTGTGGTATAGGCGGAGCGCAAGTTCATCTGCTTCTTTTGCGAGGGTTGTGGTGACGTCAGAACGCCGATCTCTGATTGGCTCTGATTGAAGGATAGTGGGCAGACCTCGGGGCAGGCTGAGCTCTGTATGGCTCTGATTGAAAAATAGTGGGCATGCCTCGGGGCAGGCTGAGCTCTGATGGGCTCTGATTGAAGGATAGTGGGTAGACCTCAAAGCAAGCTGCCTTGAGGTATACCCACTCTCCTTTCATCGGAGCCAATCGGAGCTCGGCGTTCTGACGTCACCACAACCCCTGCAAAAGAAGCAGACGTACGAATTTGCGCTCTGCATTGGTTTGCATCGTCCCTAAAAGTGGTCCTTTGATTTCCGCCCTAATACGTCACACTTGTGTCATGTTGTTACCTGTCGCGACCCTGCAGCTGTGGCGTAGCAGCAAAGGGATACGGCCCCCAAACGTCATTAATAGTGGTTATACGTATAGTGCCGCCTGGCTTGCGTCAGCATCGCCGCCAGCGCGTTTTGTAGCGTCTCACAACAAACGCAAATCTGGCAAAAATTGTTGTAAGAATGGGTCGAGCTTCGGCGCGTCCGCCTCTTGGGGTAGGTCGGGAATCCACTAACGATGACGTCATGGGCAGGCCTTGACATCTATGTAGTGTTGACTTGGGGCGGCTGCGGCGAAAGCGACACTCGCGTCTGCTTGCACTTTTCGCAGAAACTTCTACAACTTACCGCCAGGATAGCGACGTCCGACAGCATGACACGCCGGTTCCCGTGACGTCATTTGTTGCCACGCACCCAACGAGGTAGCACGCACAGTGGTTGCACCCACACGCTCGGTGCGTGGGCGGTACGGGACGCTGAACACACCAATCGAAGTCACGTTCCAGGCACCGTACAGGCACGCTAAACGTGAAACACCGTATCCAGTGGCAGAATATAAAGTCTCAGTCACTTGCGTCCATTTCCCAAGGTTTCGAAGTGACCATGAAGCGGCTACCAGTCTCACGAGCAGATTTCTGTGTCCGTGCCATGCTATGCGACCAGTGCTAAAAAAGGGACTAGAAGCGGCCACAACGTCATATCCTGTAGCCGAGTTTAATGTTCTACGTATTACGTTCAACATTTAGGTTCACAAACTCTACAATGTCAAATGAACTGCATGGAAACGTCGAAAACTGAAGGCAAGGAACTGTAATTTACTATAAGTTAAAAAAAGAAAGACTATTGTTTGAAACATGCACAAAATATGTGTGAAAAAATAAAAATAAAATAATGGCCATCATCTTACTTCTATTTAAAACAAAAATAATAATACAGCCTGTGAGAGTTCCGAGCAACCTTATTTAAAATGTCTAAATTACTTTCAGTGCCAGTCAAGTCAAGCCTGCCAAAGCGTCCAGCCCAGTGACGTGAGTGCTTCCTGCTTCAATTTTGTAGATTCCCCCCTAACGTGTCAAAGACTGAGAGCGAGAGAGAGAGAGAGAGAGGTGGATAAAGTGAGAGAGTTAGACAGAAATAGAAAAAGGGAGATAGGGGGCTTGCGAAAGAGGAAGTGCTAACGTGGGAGTCATAGCCAAGGGCCCGAACGGCCATTATCAGTTGTAAAAACAAACCACAAATAAAGGCTGGTTTACACACTTGCGACTGCTTACGACCATAAGCGTTAAAACATCCTCAAACTCCTTAGGACGAGACAACACATTGGCGCCATCTATCGAGAAGCCGTCGAACACTTGCAGTTTTCGTAGATTTCCTATTTTTATCGCGTATCATTTTTTATTCTCGAAAAACTGGCACCATCAATGAGGTGACCCTCCGCATAGGACGACCATTTCTCATAGATAGTATGTACACTTGACCTCGCGAATAATGTAAAACCTTCACTCTAGTGAAATGCGGAAGGTCACCTCATAGATGGCGCCCAGCGTGCCAGTGTGTTCTCCTGTCGTAAAAGATCACATGAACTCTGCCGTAAGCAAAAGCGAGTGTGTGAACATGCTTTAAAATTAACACGACATATAAACGAAGTCTCGCGTAAAAATATCACGAGTTCAAATACGCGAGTTCAGACATGCTTTGTATACGTTTTCGAATATTTGATGGAACATGGAATAAATGTATCGACTAAAGTTATGCAGAAATTGACTCATCTTGGAGACTGTGTGTTACATTATCGGCTAGATAGTTTCAAAGTACAGGTATGCGTGAAATATAATTAGTGTTTATCCGGCTCTTGTCATCAAAGTTTTCAATATCTATCGTGTCAATATTTAAATCTCTCTTTTTGTTTCAGCCAAACTTCGCCATGTTTCTTGTCAAAGAATTTGTGGTAAGATTGCTGTTGTGGAAATTACCTTTCTTAATTAACATTGCAGAACATGTTCCGTTGGTTGCCAAGTGTTCACTTTGCTGTCATGTGTCAAAGATGAAGAGTGACGGTGTGAAGCCTAAGAGATGCAGGAAGAATGGAAAAAAAGCCACTTGCCAACCACGGCCTCACGTCCGTTATAAAGTAACGGACATTTAAGATGGCGGTGCGCCACTGTGTTCTAATATTATTCTAGAGAGAGCACTATTGTGCAGACAGTGCAGCCGTGGGAGAGGAAGATCTAGGACTAGGAGCGCGATGAGAGTGGAAAGGGGATTACTACTAGCGCCATCCAGCTGCGAACACGTGGAGGACCGGCGGAAGTGTGAAAGACAGCAACGAAGGTTAAACGTGTGAAGTTTGAGTACCGCGAACACACTCATTTCATTACGCTTTGGAATATTGAGCTCGGTGCTTTAGTGTACGCAAATTAGAGGGTGGCAGGGCTAGTCGCTTAGTGAAGACAACGCAAGTAGACGGGAATGGTGCGAAGAGAATCCACCACAGAGAACCTTGCATGGTCTCTTCTAATGACCGATCATTGATGTGCTCATGCGATATTGCTACCTTGTTTGGTGCCTCGGTACAATCTATTGGACATTAGAAGGAATTAGTAATAATTGTTAGGAATTGACGTAACAAAGCGCTAAACAAAAAAAAAAAAAGAAAAGAAAAAAAAGAGAGAAGGGAGTAGTGGACAAGCGTTGAACTTCAATTAAACATTCATTGAAACTACGTGCAGTGAAGAAAACCACACCCTAATCGCGTCAACACCTGCTAAAAAAGGTGAACTTTTTGTTTGTTTGTTTGTTTGTATGTGTGCGCGCGCGTGCGGGTGTGTGTAAATAAACCGCACATTTATCCTCCCCCTCTCTTCTTGTCTTGTAAGCTTCAAGAAGTTCTCCGACAGTCTTATCATATCAGCCTCCCTCCCCAAAATTGTGATGTTGTCAATTTTGGACTGACAGCTTGGGCTGAATTTGCAAGAATGACCCAACTTGGCTGCATCGCCACTTTGAAATACGCGTGCGTTTTGTGCATGTTTAACCAACGGGAAGTTAGTTAGCCCCAATGGGTGTCTGGCGTCTCAGCTGTTTACGAGAAATTTTGTCCTGTGCAATATCGCGGGGTCTTTAAAGGGGCGGTGCAACGATTTTTGAACTTTGCGCGAATCCCGCTTTGGACGAATCCCTGACATTTATGACCAATGAAACACGCGTTAAGTTTCTCCCGACGCTATAAAAGTCGGAGAAAAAATTGCGGTGGCTTAGCTCGGCTATGCCAAGATTTACGTAGCGTGAGCTTATTCGCACAAAATGAGAGACGCTATCAAGCGGCTCCGGTGCAGCGTCAAACTTGGCTACTGCACAACGGAGGCGCACAGCTGGGCACGCGGTGGCGCCAGTGCGTCTGCCGCGGCTATGACGTCACTCCTCTGGAATGCGCAGACCGGCGAGGTGCGCGCAATGGCGGCGGAGCGCGCGGCGGCTCCGGCGCGCCAGCTGTGCGCCGTGTGACGTCACTGCTCCTCGTGCTTGCGCAGCACGGCTCTTTGACAGCCACGCGAAACTGCTCAATCTCGGCCAGTGTAGCTCACGCTACAAAAATAAGAGCAAAAAGAGCAGTGTTTGCTTCCTCAGCTCGCAGCCAGAACAGGCGGCCACGTGACCTGGAGCCGATTATGCGCTGGGTTTGGCAAAGCACAGAACACGCGCTGAGTTCCAGACATTGTTACAGTTCGGCTATTCCGGTCATTGCCGCGGTTGGACACGAGCGACTACCCGAATGCTTGTCAAGCTATTGAATATCACGAGTTCAAATCGAGTGCTCGCCCAATGTTCGGGTCCAATCTATGAGCCGCTTTCAAATACCGTCAAAGGGGGACTATGCCGACACTACGACCCCCACGCTATGTCATCAAGTTTTGCGAAGGAAACGCTGGAAGAAAACAGTCGCTTTTATCCTTGAAATTGCACCACAACCAAGAGGTTTCTTGGTGAAAGGCATTGCGTGCCCGTATACTAGAGTTTCACTAGTACCAGTGAACTCGTGTGAAATGAAATATAATTCCAACTGAATATCATTGCACCGCTCCTTTAACGTATGTGCATCATGCGGTAGAGTGGTTACACGACCCCACACCGGTACGATGGCTAGTTTGCCGCTTGGACCGGGTTGAGGACACATTGCAGGCCTTGACTCCTCGATGGTATGGACCGATTCCCAGTCTGAGTTAGCGCCTGCCCTGTGTGGTTGCCCTTGACTTTGTCCCGGCCATTCGCGCCGTTTCTTTATAGCAGGTGTCTTTCAATTGTTGTGCAGTGTCTCACAGACACCCAGGTCGGCTCAATCAGCGGAGTGGTGTACACGTACGCGGCGTGTTATCTGGCCCTTGCACTGAACCGGACGGATCTGACGGGTTCGCCAGTGGCAGACCAAGTTCACACGTTGGTTTCTCAGTTGCTGGCCGCAGGCGCCTGTGAGTAATGAATATTTACACCCCCGTGATACGGGAAAGTAAGAAAAGGGGTGTGGACCTTTCCTATTATAAGCTTGCCTATACTTGGTTTCACCTTAGGATGGACCGCAAAGGACGTTACGAGCCACTGCAGGAGCCAATTCATAGCTCGGAGGGCGTCAGGTGTCCTTCCGGTTGGGCGGAGGGAGCGACGTGGGGCGCGTGAAGGCACGAGACTGCTACGATCTACGGATTTGCTTCTGTAGCCAGTAGCGTCCATCGCGGGACATCGTAAGATGATTCCGAGAAAACGCACGTGCAACGCACCGTTCACGCTGTCGCGCTGCTCCGAGCAAGATGCTGCCACCGACGCATTCGTCGAGGCAGTCAAGACCACCGTCTCCGAGGCTGTTCACAGCATAAGGTAACTGCAGCCTCCCCCCCCCCCCCCCCCCCCCCAATTCGAAGGGCAAAACCCTGAGGTCCATGTGCGTCCAACCGTTCCTACTACACAAAAGCTGTCGGTGCCAAGGCCACTGGTTTTTCGCGGAGTAATATGTTTTTTGTTGCAAAGTATTCGCGCTTATTACTTAGGCAAAAAATGCCGACTCATTGGGCTGCGGATGCATGCGCGGCATCCGATATCCAATATAGTTCACAGAACAGTTTCTGCATGCTCATGCTACGAACGTGCTTCACAGCCCAGTAGACAAAGATGGCACCGCACAAAATAACATTTGAAAGGTCTATACACCTTTCTATGACGCATGTCCGTATGCCGACCTTCAGCAAGTCCTGGTTTCCATGTCGAACAAACTCAACGGTTTTCCGGCGAATATTTTAGTTACTGTACAAGAAGTCACTTACACTTGGTGTCAACAAAAAAGTTTACTCGATTAGAACGTTTAAATATAGTTTTACCCTGCTGTTATTAACAGAGTTACTGCAAATCATTCGGTATGATAAGAATTGAGAACTCTGCGAGAAAACTGGAGAAATTATTGGGTGCTAACTACAGGGTGTCACAAAAGAAAATTTACACGGCCTTTTTTACCGCAAAAATAAACTAGGCGTCGCCGAACGCTCATTTTCCGAACAAAGGTAGAGCTAGAGGTCACAACCAGATGCCAAAGTTTCATCCCGATCCGTCAACTTAATCAAAAGTTATCAGCGATTTTCTGAAAATTTCAATGGGAAAATGGAGCCCATTTTTGCCCGTTTTCGGTTTCTGGTGCCATAGAGCCCCATGTGTTTTAAAACTCCATCGGCTGCCATTTTCCCATTGAAATTATCAGAAAATCACTTATAACTTTAAGTTATCGAATCGGGCTGAAACTTTGGCATCTTGTTGTGACCTCTAGTGCTACTTTTGGGCGGAGAATGAGCGTTCGGCGATGTGTAGTTTATTTCTGCGGTAGAAAAGACCGTGTAAATTTTCTTCTGTGACACCCTGTACATAAAACTCTGGGCTAAAATCAAACTCAACACACTTTACCCCAAAAGTAAAAAAAAAAAAAAAAAAAAAAAAATATAAATACTGCAAATAAACTTTCCCTGTTAATCTCAAGAGTCTAAAAGTTAATTGACTACCCAGTAAAATTATTTTGAGAACTTTTCCAGATTATGAATTTTATCTTACATCTGTCTTTTCAGGTCTGCCATGAAGGAAATACCTCTTCGAGTTCGAGGTTGCTTCGCCAAGGAAGGACCCTTGGCACAAACCCCGCTCTACTAAACAAAGGCCATATCAACGTGCTTATTAAAAAATAAAACAAAAATGTTATTTTAGAGTGGGCAAAAAAAAATGTTTGGTACTACTGAAACAACTTTAGGACTAGGGGTGTCGCGAACCGGCCGAGGTTCGAGTTCGACCAGGTTCGACTTTTTCGAACTTTTAGCGGAAAGTTCGACGAACCTTGTAATGCGGTTCGACTCGCGTGCGCATGCGTGACAGGCTGGTCAGTTGGCTTCGGATTGGATGGTGATGGCTAAGGAATAAATTAAGGGTAGCTCTGATTGGTTATTGCAGTTAATATAGTACGAAAAAATTAAGTTATTAACTTCTTCAGTGATTATAATTGGTTTATTTTAATTGCAACTGTTTATAAAATAAAATAACTTTTTTGCATAAAAACAAGTCTCCAAACCTAGACATGCTTATATCAAGGTCTGGCCACACTGTCCACAAAGTCGAACCGGTCGAATTTGGTGAAAAGTTCGAAGGTTCGTCGAACCGGTTCGACTCAGTCGAACCCCGAAAGTTCGACCTAAAAATCCGGTTCGACAAAAGTTCGCGACACCCCTATTTAGGACCATGTCCAGAAAACATGGCGGCCGCGGGGAAAATCGCGGCCTTTACATATAAAGCTCAAACCTTCACCACATGTGCCTTTAGATGCTGGAGTTTACCTTATGCAATTTAAAGGCATATAGTTCCCTTCCTGTAAAAATTGAGAACAAAATATGAGGGAGGTGAGGCGTGGTTTTGCGCATCGGCCACCGAAAAGAAAAGCTGCTGGCAATGAGCTCCAAGTAGTAACCTAAACCCGCGTCCAAATTTAGCGTTTTTTTTTTTTAACATTGGTATTTTGTAAAGACACCGCAGAATGAGGTATAGCTTGATGCATAGAAACATTTTATTTTCAACAGGGAAGGAAATACGCTTACAAAAAACCAGAGGAACCAGAGAGAAAAAAACGAAACAAGGACGCTTTTTTTTTTCTTTTTTTTTTCCCCGCTGTTCTTCCGACGTTGCACTCTACGCATCAATTCGCAACATCCTAGACGTATTGAAGATGACTAGCTTTTTTTTCTTGCTTCCGCAGGCATGGAATGTTCCAAAAACTAAAAAAAGAACAATACTGTCGCCAGACCATGCCGCTTTCTTTACACCCTTTTAAAACAGCCCTCCATAAATAGGAAAACCCATACTCCCTCTTGCACGCACGCCACACGCTGTCAAAAATCTAGTCTAGAAAGCCCGCCGCAGCAGTTTACGCTGCAAGTCAAGGCCTGTTCACACGCCTGCGTTTGTTTACGACCGAGTTCCTGCTACCTCTTAGGACGAGAGAACACACTGGCACGCTGGCGCCGCCTATGAGGTGACCCTGAAGCTGAATTTCGCCAGAGCGAAGGTTTTGCGTTTTTCGCGGGATCAAGTGCACACGCTACCTACGAGAGATGGTCGTTCATATACAACTGTCAAAAATATTTCGAACCAAAAATTAAAAAAAAGACAAGAAATGTGAAGTGTTCCATAACTATCCAATAGATGGCGCCAGTCTGTTTCCTCGTCATAGGAGATCCCAAGATGTTTTAAGGCGCTCCGTCGTAAGTGTGCGAAGCAGCCTTTCTTGTGAAACTTGGGAATTTTAAGAAAGCTAAGGAGGTGCCTGCACAACTCCGATATGTTGAGGAGCACGAGCCTGCACGTAGCCATTCCAAATTTTCCCCAAAGGTCCAGTTTAATGGTGCACTTTACCTTGTCAAATTTCAAGGCCATGGCTCTTCCTGTGACAATAATTAGACCATCAAACTTCCCAGGGTCAGCGGCGGATGCTGAGGCGGACGAACCCTTTAAATTGGGTGATAATGTCTAAGACAATTGAATTAGATTTAACCTCTATCTGTCTCTTGGTTTTAGCCCCACATCTCATTTTATTTTACTGAACTCTACTTGTAGCGCCATCTCTCGACAGATGATGCAGCAAGCAGACGACCAAGCCGTCTATTGGGACATGGTGCCACAGAATACAAACGTCGCTAACTTGGTTGTCTGTACGTGTTCACCGCTGACTGTAGCAAGTTTGTTGATCTCATTTTTTACGGAGTTACACGTGAAAATTTCACGAGGTTAAATGTACCACTAAAAGGCACCTTCGCTACCTATGCAGGTGGCATCTTCAGTATGAACTGATGCGAATGACGCCGGAGAGGACTCTCGCTTCATTCCCACCAGTTCATCCTGAAGATGCCACCTGCATAGGTGGCGAAACATCTTTTTGCTTTTATAGTGTTAAGTCGGCTGGAGCAAACGTTTTTAACCGTTAATTTATCTGACCGATATGCGAGCAAGCCTCAGGATTTCAGACATCCTATATTTTGATCCTCTTCTGTTTGGTAAGTAGAGGATCAGTCCAGCAGCTTGCTCGATCAAAGACTGCTATCGTTGCCTAACCGACCTGACAACATGCTTGTGTCTCAAAGATCTTTCAAATGCCTGAGGCATCAGTAGAGTATGACCTACTACGTGATGCACTCAAATGGCATCTATGAAACTGGGAAAAGAGCACACACCAGATACAGCCGTGGACACTATAAACTAGAATGTGCCGACGTGTTTGCCCTTGAGCCACTTGAAGCAGTTTCCGAGGTACCACTATAAAAAAGAAGCACTATGGCAACAGTGATCTGCATCTGCAATTTTTCTACTGCAACGATAGCGATGGTTTCTAGAAGGAGAAACAAAGGCTGCTCCAGCAAGAATAGAAAGGTATGGATCGCACATGTAAGGGAGAAAGCAGTGCCTACCAGTCAAGCTAGCAGAAGACCACTGGAATACTTAAAAGCCGCACACTGTGACTCACACATTGTACCATCAATTTATAATAAAAAAGGCCCTGTTGTCATATGCTGTCCTTTAGGCTAGAACCTGTGATTCTTGAAACACTTCCATTGTGAACATCTAAAAGAAAAATGGCCAATGAGAAAACGAGCAGAGGTCAGATGTGGTACTACTCTGGCAAACCCTTCAAGTGACTCTAGTTCATCCTGCTTGTTAGCGCTACCTGGTGATGTTAGGAGGAACATCTGTCTCCTCATCGTAACTATGCCAAATCTGCGCGTGCAGATATTAAGAGACAGCGCTCAAGCCATGCGCCCACATATTTTGCACGCCGCCGTGCAGTTGGGCTTGCGTGAGCAACGAAGCACTTTGGAGCATTCTGCACTACCTCTCTTCGCAACTGTATGGGGCCAAGATCAAGGGGCCAATAATGATGGTATAGACTCATTCACACATACACCACAACACTAACTCAGCAATGTGGACACAGTGCCGACTTTTTGCTGCATCAGCACTCCACTGCAGGTGACCCCCCCTTTTACGGCCTAGACACACAATGCAGCGCTAATTTAGTGCCGAGTCAGCACCGACAGTAGCACTGATGCGTCAACTCTTCGTTATCTCGGTGCTGAGATGCATGCGTGAACTGGCCTTAGACCTCATATTCGGTTCAGCTTTGCAGCAAACCCATGCACCTGAAGGGTAATTGTCTGCACATGAGCTTAAACTGTGTGTGTGGAGAGGTTGCATGCAACTATGCAACCAGGGTTTCGCGCTTCTACACACGTGGCAACGACAAGACACTGCCTGCCAAGTTTTTTACGAAAATCTGCAATTTGAGTGTTTCTTCTAACGGTTAAAGAAAAGCTGGGCTGTCCAGAAATATGTTACTCTATATCACTTCAACCAAAATATAGATCATCTTCATAGCTGTGCAAAAAAACGGCACACTGAAGAAAGTTTACTCCAAAGTCCAATATGATTTTAACGAAAATCCGGCTAGTTCGGCGTGAATATGCTCCCATTAGCTGGCTGAGAGTAACAAAAAGTAGTTTCCATAATCGGTCGTCGCAAATGGACTTGCACAGAAAGCTCCTGACAGCTGGAGGTTAGCAGGAGTCCATTCCACGATTAAATACCACGCACACACATACCTTTCTGTTTTCAAACTCACTTGTACATACATGCAGAAAAAACATACAGAGGGAAAGGGAAAAGAATGTGTTGCTCTAAACGTCACGATGGATCGGCAACTTGAGGTGCGCCAGACACTTCAGCATTCGCCAGCCACTTTCGCAATGACCACTGCATGAACGGTGGGTTGTTGCCAGCGAGTAGACAGTCACAGAGGGAATGATTGGCTATTTGCATTGTGCCAGACATGACAGAAATCTTTGGGTTCATCGCAGTGACAAGTCACTGTCACAGCGACACCGGCTATCCCGGTATGTATGCCTCTCACAATGTGCGTTGTGGCAATCACTTGTACTGGGACAGTCAGTCATATCCTGTCAATATGGTAGCAAATTGTCACTGTGACACTCTGACAGCAGAAAGTTGGTAAGCCTGCCATAGTTATCCTCTTCAAACACTCGTTCTGAAAAACAACAAATATAGATTTCTCATGCTCTTTAGCAGCAAGTGACTGAAAGTAAATGGTTAATCATGGGTGTGAAAAAAAGTCATTAACAGGTCGCCTAATCTGTGATCATCACTCAAGACCAAAGCTATGGCAAATGGCTTCCATACAGACAATCACTCCTGCTGTGACGGCCACTCCTGCAACAATCGCACCGTGACAACCACTGTGACAGTCACACTAGCACATTTGGTGAGAGTCGCTCAAGTGTGACAGTCGCAGTAGCAGTCATCCCGACATAGTCACCCCCACCGTGAACGTCACTGTGTACTGAAGGTCGCCTGCTCGTCAACGGTCACCGATGGTGGCCGTCGTGGTGATGACATTGAAGCATGAGGTGGTGCTCTGTGAAGGCGTGGGGCCACGGCCCAATCGCCCCCGGTGCCAATCATGAGCTGGTCTCGATGAGGCAGTCCACCTCCCCAACGTCGGTGTGGGTCTCGTCTCCGATTGCGTAGCTGACTTTGTACTTCATGCGCACTTTGTCCTGCAAGATACATGACGACATCATTTGTTTTCACTTCCGCTCACTAGTTGTTCACATAGCGTGGAAGGTGTGATCACTTTATGTTTGCACATGGCATCTTAGAAAGCTATCCCTCTCAATTGTCATCACTTGGTATATGATACTTCATTCATCCTTTCCACCTTGCTCCTTACCCTCTTTTTTGGCTCATTGGGAGCAGTTTAATTTTATAGAAATGGGGTGTGGATATTGCCAATTTGTGGATCCTTAGAATCCCTGGAGCTGCTAGATCAAGTCAATGTCATAAAAAGATGACGTCAGGTTACTGTACCAAAATGTCCTTGCAACTGTATGCCAACCCCAGCTTGAATGCTACCACTTGAAAATCTAGCGAGAACTACTTGCTTTGCTAGCAGTACTCTTACACCCACCCTCCGCTGCACAGACAAATGCACCGGAGGGTGGGTGCTGCACTGGGCGGATGTGCCTGCAGTTCCACCCACAGTAGTACCTGCCGCTATGCACACAACTGTAGCTATGGTTGCACATGCAGTTCTACTTGCAGTTGCGCCTACAGTTGTCTGCTCAGTTGCAAATGCTGTTGCATTTGCAGTTGCACTAAGAGTTGTACTTGCAATTATTCCTTCAGTTCTCCCTACAGTTGCACACGCAGTTTCACCAGCAGTTGTACCCGTAGCTATGCCTGCAGATGAACCTACAGCTTCACCCACAGCTGTACCTATGCTTGCACATGCTGTTACATTTGCAGCTGCACCCCACAACCCACAAGAGCGTCTGGAAAGCACAGAGTTCCAGTCTCACCTTGGAGGGGTTGGCCAGGAGCATGACTTGGGTGATGGCCGCCGGCGGCAGGATGGGGTTGTGGGGGGGCAGCTCGGTGGCAGACGGAGGTTGCAGCTTTATTCGCATTGTCTGCAAGGACGGCGCCATGTCCAAAGCGTTCGTTAAGAAATGCTTCGTCTTGTTGTCGCCGTGCAACCACTTCTGTATCGACAAGCCCCACTTTGAGCAGATGTGGACGAAACACTAAGTTTGGAGCGAGGCTGTGCAAACACAACCAGAGAAATGAACGCCAGACTGGCACCATTTAGTGCATTCTTCACCGATAACCGTCGATTAAAGTCACTGAAATTTAGCGATCTTTTCTAAATGAGCAAAACCAAAATACAAAAAAAAAAACATAAGAAAACGTCCATAGAAGCCCACTACATTGCACCTTGCAATCAAAATCTTTGTCGTAATTAGAACCTCTAGAACAGGGGTTCTCAAACTTTTTGGTCTCACAAAACCCCAGGAAGCCTCAAAAACAGCCACGGAACCCTCCCCCCCCCCCCCCCTCTATATTTGCTGACCGTGAAGCAACAGATGCAATTGTAGATAATTCTGCTTGTGCTGCTTCCCATATATCCCCACCATATCAATCGCGATGTCAGTACAAAGTGAGATGAAGGCGCTTCGCATGGTCCTGCCGCGCAGCCTGTGGCAGGGGAGGGGGGAAAGGGGGGGTTGCAATTTGGGTGTTCGCGGAACCCATGAGACCAGCTCGTGGAACCCCTGTGTTACCCGGAACCCAGTTTGAGAACCCCTGCCCTAGAAAACCCAATCGAGCAACATTGGTAGTCGCCGTCAACGTTGGTTTCTAGGCTAGGTGGCACTAGCTACAACACGTTATCAAGAATACAGCCACTAGCAGCCATCCATCCACCCATTGGTAGCTGCTGTCAACCAATCTTAAGAGTTCAGCCATACCGTTCATTCTACCGGCTTATTAACATAAAGTAGGCATTCGGTTGGCGGGGGGAAGTTTGGCGAGTAATGACGCTACGGCTGAGACATTGCTTAGATCTATATTGTTGACGCCATACTTGCTATGTGACCAAAAACTAAGCTTTTGGCAAATGTATATCAAATTTTTCATTAAAAGAAAAAATGCAAGCCGTTTACAACTCCCTGTGACGCCGAATTAGAGCGCGGCTCTTGAGGAGGAGGAGGGAAGGTACTGGGGGGGGGGGGGGGGGGGGGGGTCACGTGACCTCGGGGGGAAGGGCGGAGGTCACGTGACCTCATGGTTACACTGACGGCAACGGCGACGCCGCTCAAGCTGGAAACGGGCGCCTAAGAGCTGCGCTCTAAAAGTGAACCCCCACCCCCTTCCCCTTTGCTTAAATCTACCCATGTTGCACCAGTTCTTTCTTGCTGTTCAGTTTCCTCCCGTTTTCGAACTGGAACTGTTAGTATTAGTACAGCGCTAGTTGTACACGGATGTTTACCGTCCTATCCTGCCCACACATCGAAAGTGCTACCAAATCGCAATAAATTACATTGTGGGAGCCAGCATGACATGCTGCCGGATGTCGCAATCCCGGTGGTTGGTCGTAAAAATGCCGGCGAAAAGTGTGACCGGACGCAAAAGTTGCCTTCGTAGCGGCGTCCCAACGCCCGCCTGCGGAAGCTTCCACGCATCATCGAACTGGAGAGTGACCCACGGAAAAACGGGCGTCATCGGGCGTCATCAAGCAGAAATCGAGGGACCACTTTCGAGGGTGTGGTCGACACACCCGACGGAGACGTGCCCCAGACACAGTAGCATCGCGTAAGCAGGTTACCTTGGGCACGGCTGCCTGAAAGAGCACCTTCTTGACGGAGCTGGTGTTGGTGCTCATGGTGGAGACGACCATGACGCTCACGTGGGGCTGCGGCTGGTTCTTTGCAAAGTGCACAATCACCTTCACACCGTTGAGGTCGTGCAGGGTCAACGGCAGCTGGCTGCCTACAACGAGCATGATGGAACGTGCCTCAGTGTTTGCTTCTCTTCCGAGCAAATCAAATGTGTTGTCTGTAGTGCGATAAGACTCCCGACCATGAAAAATGATTTTCTAAGAACAACCGATCCTATGTATAAAGGCAGAATTATGCAGAACGCTCACCGTTACAGGGTGACATACAAAATGTTTGCGCTAAATTTAGTACACTGGTCACGCGACATCATCAGCACAACGCGGTCGTGCGACACCAACCACATGACCCTGTCGCCTGGTGTCAATGCCACAATGTTTCTGTGTCATGTGGCTTCATGTTCCATCACGGTGTCACGCAAGGTGACGTAAGTGACAGCCGCTAAACTTGGAAGGCAAACCTAATGGCTAAGCTTAGCGGTTTGTTGTGGGAACTCGTTTTATGCTTTCATACAAACTTTTCGTTATGCTCTTAACTTGCGATGAAGAAAGCGCATAAAAGCATTCTGCTTTGAAGCCCTCACATCCTTCCAAGTCTAAGATTCTTTGTGCCTTGGGCACCTTCTTGACGACAGCGCCGATACACCATGTGCCTCGTTAATGACACATCCACAACTCCATAAAAGGTCACGCACCGTTACACCGCTTTAATGAAAGAGCACTGTAAATTGGGTAATTCGAAAAGCTGGGCTAGTTGGTTAAAGACATGGTGGAAAACAGCACACAGGATGACAGGGAGAAGGAAAGGCAGGACACATAACACAAGAGTGCCCACTTGCAGCTGATATACCAATGGTGGCGAAGCTGCGGCTCGCGAGCCACATGTGGCTCTTCGCGTGTTAAAGTGCGGCTCTCGGTTTCCTCCCCCACTACCCCCACCCCGCCTTCCTCCCGATCACACGAGCACTTCCCCAAAAAGAGAAATGGAACGCGTTTTAAATCGACAGACAGTTTGCGGTTTCGTTGTCTTGTGCTGAAGCTACCTTACGTACAGCTGGCCTGCTTTTGACTCGGATAGATTGAAAGTAGTTTGAGTTTCGTTTATTGCTCTAAACAAAAGTTTCCTGCCCCCCCCCCGCGGCTCTTGGAAGTTTCGTGATTTTGTTTGCGGCTCTTAGGCCGGGTCAGCTCAGCCGCCCCTGTGATACGCAGTCGGTGACCGTTTTTTCGGACTCCGGACTTGTTCTATATTTCGGACCTAAAGGAGAAACCGTGACTTACCCCATAAAAATAGTGCATACTCACAACCAATGTTTCGGACAGCTTGAGGTCCGAAAGTTTGATTATTCGGACAAAATCGTCGCGAGCGATCAGCAGGGAACATCACCAAGAAGCGGCCATTGTGAATTCTATATTGGCTGCAAATGGATTGGCTTGGTTTGGCAGCGCTACTTGAGTACTCCCGAGTCCTGCCGCAGGGTGACGCCATGCTAGCCCTTTTTTTCCATTTAGCTGCACGTCATCATCATCATTATTGTCATTTTGCTTTGTATCCTTCCATCCCTTCGCGCCTCCACCCCGCTTTCGCGTCGCCAGTCGCCGTTTTGCGCTCGTGGATTTGCGCCTCTTATCTCGTTCGGACAACGCTGGCTTGGACGTCATGGCCCCTTCTGTTCTTCTAACACCACGATGTGTCGGAAGCGCAGAAAGTACTCGACCATAACGCTACAAAAGAAGGCAGTGATTCTCAAGCTAACAGAAAGCTGCCAAACGCAAACGAAGGCGTAACCTAAAACAAGGCACGCAGGCGTAACCTGAAGCAAGGCACTGTTTACAACTTTTTAAAGCCCACTTTGAAGTAATAAAAGCAAGTTTTTCAATCTGCTGTTTTTTCGGACTGCTCTATTATTCGGACGTCTCTTCGGTCCCTGCGAATTCCGAATAATCGGTCGGCGACTGTATACCGTTCGGTTTAATATATATACGAGTTGCAAGTCGGTGCTCCTGTGTTGTGCGTTTTTCTCTCCCTTGTCTGTTATTACATGTAATGCTGTTTTTACCATCACCTAAAGGGTTTAGATTAGAATAAATACGGTACATTATTTATGCATCCGCAGATCCAAGTTACAGCGAATGTCGCGTGCGTGTAGCAGACGAAAGCTCACCCGGCTGCACCAGTTCCAGGGGCACAAACACGTCGGAGAGAGAGAGCGGGTCCGAAGACGGGCTCTTGCCGGGAGATCCAATCCGATCTGCCGGGCTAAGGTCCAGGAGGCTGGGCGGGGCGGCGCCAAGGTTGGCCGACGCCGAAGTCAGCATGCCCATCCCGGAAGACGGGACGCCGTTCGAAGCGCCGGTGACGCCGGCGCCACCGACGGCAGATGCGGCCGGCGGCTGGGACTTTTGGATCTGGTTGAGCGGAATCTTCTGCGGGGTGCTGCTGCCAAAAGGAGATGGCGGGGAGGAGTGTATGCTGAGCGATAAAAACGGCAAGTTTTCGAGCTACCCAAGTGAGCCCGCTTTCAGAACGCCAGGGTCCCGAGCACGGTGTAAGATAGGCAGGTGGGGAAACGGCCCATAGAAGCCTACCGCAGCGCCGTGACCGGATTGTGTACTTGTCTGCTTGCGGGTACCCCCGATTTGCGACAGATGGCGCTGCGGCGAGAGGAAAAAAATTGGAATCGGATTTGCATGGAACTATATGGGAGAGTGCGCAAAATAAACCGAGAGAACGACAGTCCTTTATTGAAAATCCACGAGAAATCATCTCCGTCAGTTTAGCCGGTCGCCACCAGTCGCCCACCCGGATTGAGAGTTTGCGGTGCTCCACATAGATGGCGCCACAGAAAAAAAGAAACCCGAGGGGGACACAATCCGGTCGCTCATTTGTCTCTCGTTTCCCCACCTGTCTATCTTACACCCTGGTCCCGAGACGTTATTCACTGTGTCTTAATTCAAGATGGCCACTACAAGAACTGCAAATGAAGGTGATGCCGCAACCGACGTCAAACTTTTTACGCGCTGTCTAGAGGGGCGACATCACGTGTCGTATAACGTGCAGGTTGAGCAGTCTAAAAAAGTATAGTTTGTGCATTTTCTTCTTTGTTTCTTGTTTTGCTGGTGTTAGTTTCTTCAGCATTCATTTCATACCATCAAACTTCTTACAACATATTGGCAACAAGCTGTGCTGCCCCCCCGTTACAACGATTTCATTTCGAGATGTCGACCCCAAAATAGAAGCAGGTTTGGAAATCGAAATGAGTCTTGCAATACATATATTTCGCAAAAAAAAATGGATTTTTTTTTCTAGTGGGAAAGTTTTTTTTACAACATACATTCCCTTTTAGGCATTAAAAAATTTTTGTTTGACGTTCAGTGTTTTTTTAAAGGGATGCTGAACCGATATTTGAAATCTCATAATTATTGCCCGAGCGGGCTTCACGGGATGGTACTGTACCTAAAAACGATATTCGATCATATGGATGGGGCCCGAATTATTGTATTTCTTTGAATTAAGAGCGAATCCTCGGCCGGAAGCCGCCGGCGCGAGCGAGTCCTTCTGAGAGCAGGCGTAGCGGAACTGACGTGCGGATTCTCGGCGCCCCCAGCGCCCCTGGTGCCTCTGCGCATTCTCCTCGTTCGCTGGTGCTCGCCTTGATTCTGCGCTCGGCGGCTGTTCTCAAAGCGGCTGGTACTAGTACCACGCGGGCAGAGCCCGCGTGGTACTAACAAACGCCACCCGGCTTAGCGCCTGGATTGGCTTGGCTCCGTCTGTCTTTTGAGGCGAATGAGAATGCGCACGTCACGAAGCGAGCTTTCCACGACGCTCACCAGGGGTCGCGTAAAATTGTATTTTTCGTGTTTATTCAATTTTATACGCATTCTCGCTCAAAACAACGTCATTTAGATGTAAAGGACATGTTATGTATGCCATTGCGACCAAAAATTTCCACCTAAAATTTCGGTTCAGCATCCCTTTAAAGGGACGCTTACGGTAATTCGAAGATTTTTCTGAAGATGGTGGTCCAGGCTCAAACAACCACTCAAATTGTCTTCTAACTTTATTTGCCAATATATTTTTCTTTGTTGCCAAATAGCCGGTGTAAAAGCTAGTAACACTTGCAAAAGCCAAAGCCGTAAAGCACAAGGTTGAACAACATAGATTCGGCGATCTGTAACGACGAAGGAGCATTCTGAGACGTAGTTTACCTAAATAAAATCTTTCATGTTCTGGTGTCACACCAGAAGAAAAAACATTGTTTTCATTGCTTGCTCACGCATTGCGCAACAAGAAAAAAAAAAACACACTAAAAGGCCCAGTTGGGAGTGGCAGGAAGCAAACCGAAACTGAAACTGCGGCACTCAAAGGCCTAAGAACAAACCCTCCTGAAGACGGTGCCTTGGAAAATGGCAAGGCAGGGGCCATATCTACATGGCGGGACCAGGCGGGACCCCGAGGGAAAGGGCCATAGCCACCTACAGCGGTTGGCCAGTTCGACGCCACGGACCAATAGACCAATCTCACCATGTAGTTTGAGAACGCCACCGCTGCCGCCATGCATCGTGGGATCTGTAGTCTTTCTGCACGTGCGACAACCCCGCTGGAGGTCTGCGCGAGCAGAGCATGAGGCGGCATGAGGTATCTCGTGAACTGGCATGTGCCTCCTATGAACTACCGTAATGGCGGCGTCACGCATCCGTGGAACGCTTGGTGAGATCGGTCTATTGCAGCAGGCGGCGACTTGGTCCCGCTTGGTCCTGCCTTGCAGGATTAGGGTCCCAGCACTCACTTTGGAAAGTCCCCCTGGGAGCCTGGGTGGTGTGGCAAAGCCTGCTTGATCAGGGACTGGCCTAAAGCGTCGATCTCTTCAAGGCCCTTGGACTTTGACGGGGCAGGTGCACCACCCAAAACTACAAGATGAAAAAAAAAAAAAAAGAAATATAAGGTGCTTGACCTCTCAAGGTGCAAAGGATTTGCACTGAAATTTTTTTATGCTTACTGCATTTTCTGATTGAAAGACCCCTCTTCTTTATCTTACATATGCCAAAATCTACATGAAAAATAATTTCCAATAAACTTGCGGAGAAATTGAATATGTATACTAGTCGTACACCAATACATATTGTCCCACAAAGCAGGGAAATTATGTGTTTTACTTTTGTGTTACACTTCGACTTTTTTCTGGCTTCTACTTGATGAAACCCTAGCCCCAAGCATGTTCTGTGTAAGGTAAAACTCAGTGGAGACTCTTTATAGGCCCTTTTTGGAACTAAACACCCTCTCGTTGTAGAGGCGTAAGCAAGAGACACCACCGAGCTGAGAAGTTCGTAACACATGCAATGTTTACTTCGAAGCAACTGCGTGTGGCCGCACAACTGCATGTATGGGGACGTTGCTGTTCTGTCATTCGTCGCGTTTTCAGAGCTTTGAGAAAAACAGTGAATTTTTGGATGGGTTGGAAACTTAGTGAAGACATGTCAAAAGTATGAATAAAGATGCGTAGCTGAAGAATGCTTGCAACCGTACTGGTATGGGCTGATATAGTGAGCATACTGATCATCTAATGAAGATTCTTCCAAAAAAAAAGTTAACTTTACTATTATGGAGAGGTCCTGCCACTTTGAAGCATTACTTGCTCAACCAACAAACGACAATAATTTGGCTTGCCCCAGCATAGAAATGGGAATCAATCTAGAACGCCTGCATTTACGTACCTACTTTCCAATTTTACACTATTTTTTTTTTTTTTTTTTTTTTATTGTTATGATTGGTTGCATGTAAATCTTGCCCCTTGCCAGGCTCCTGTCAAGAAACAAAGTTTCTTGGAAAGATATCTGGCCACATTATCATGTTTCTGTAACACCTCACTATGCCGAGCCTCGTAAATCCACCGATAACAGAGTGATAACCGCTCCCCTCACCGCTGCCAGCAGCCACCGTCTGGCCAATCGCGACCAGTGACGGCTTCAGCGGCGACATTCCGGCAACCGACGCAGTCGACGGGGTGAGCATCTGCGGCGGCCCGGCCTGGTGCGCCGGCGAGTAGCCGCCCGGTCCCATCCGCACGCCGAGACCGGCCAGCGCGGCCGACGGCCCCGAACCGACGAAGCTCATAAAGTTCCCCGGTGAGCCGCCGATATTGCCCGGCGACGGGGCGGCTCCGAAGATCGTCCCCAGCTCGGCCATCGTGGAGCCGACGTTGGTGGCGTTGACGCCGGTTGAAGCGGTGGTGGCGGACGGTGGAGCTGGCGCGGGATCGTTGATTCCTGCAGAATAATTTTGGTTAATTCTGTTTGTTTTTGCATGCATTTGTTGAGACAGGTTTGCACACTTGTGACCGCTTACGGCCGTGCGCTTAAAAACCTCTTAAAATCTCTCGGCCATTCCATATATTTCCTACTTTATTTCGCACATCACTCTCTCTTTATTGGCTTGAAAAAATTTTGACAATGTTATAAACAACTATTTCCCATAGATAGTATGCGCATTTAGTGATCTCCATTTTGGGCCTGGAGGTTACCATGGTAGCCAAGCTGCTAGTGGTGCCTGGCGACCTCATTATCAGTACGGCTCGTTTTACCTCCCCATTCGTTCGTTGAAACGCATTAAAAGTCGGCAGAAGTGAGAAAAAGCCAAGTAAAAGCATGGCTGGCATACGAGCACTGGCACATCTGAGCTCCGAGTGCCTCACTTACCGCACATTCAACGCACGCAGAGACGCGCACTGACAATTTGAATTTCGTGCTACACGAGAAGCAAAAGGAGCAGACGATAAGGATTTGGGTGGTGCTCCAAAATATCCAAACGCTACTCCGGCAATTGTTGGCCTTGTTTGGCTCTATTGGTTGCTACAGAAACTGAACCAGCTTGGCCGGTTCCTCTGGTACAGTGCAAAACAAATCACGGCAAGAGGTGGTGCGAGGAAAAACGTAGCGCGACTCTGGCAGCTAAAGCTGCCATGTCGGGTGACACTGGGTCCCACAAGTGCCAGTTCATGTCACTGTATCCTGGGAAAGTAGCACCAAGCTCCCCTTATGGTCACCATTTTGGTTCATGGAAGGAGCAGTTTCTCCATGACCTTTCCCCTCTTGGTGAGCCGACCTAAATTCCCTAGTGACAGGTAGCTTTAGAGAGACGTTTCTTGAATACCGAGATTTGGTTATCCACACAACGACAAAACGAGAGCACATCTTGGCACCGCCAGCACACGTGGTGCCGATGTTTGGCGGTATTGGAAAATAACTTTCCCATATTGCAAGAACAACAATATTGTTGTAAGAGACCTGTGGAGATAAGCATGATTGATAAGTGGATCGCATGCACAGTGCCAAAGATGCTTATACTGGCCAGAAATGTTTTCAGTACAATGATGCTCCATAGCGATCTTGGTGCGAGTGGTCCAGAACGACCCTTTCGAAGCTTCGAAGATTCGAATGGACCAAAATGGCGATTGCCATGGCAACTGAGACTGATCGGCCAATTAACTTGCAAGGTTTGGCCGCCTGTGTGTTAGTATCTGTTTGTGTCCGGCCAGCAAGCAGGAAAGGCAATGGCACTACTTTCCCAGAATCCAGTAACTCTAGTGCCAGTAAGCTTGTGCAAGGTGAAAAACATTCCTACCCAATATTGCTGCCCGGCGCCCTTAAATGTCCCTTGAAATCGGAACGTAGACCCGTCCCGTCCCTCGCTCACCGAGTGCCAGTAGCTGGTCGTCCAGCAGGCACATGTCGCTCTGCGATTGTCTGCGTCCTCCGCTCTCGGCCATTTGCGGTGACCCCAGGTCCAGCAGGGAGGCCCCCTGAGCCATTGAAGCACGGGCTGCGGCAGTACCGTGATTAACTGTTGCATGGTTCGCTTTACAGACCGCTGAGCTTGGTGGAGGTACACATATTATTATAACAACTCCATCGTCTGATAAGGGCCTCACTAGTGATTTAGGCAACAACACATAAAGTTGGGCGAGTTGGTTTGACATACTGAAAGGGGAACAGCGCGAAAATAAACGAGGGACGAGTAGAAGAGGTAATTAGAGACACGGCCCTGACTAGCAACTGAAAGTTTATTTGTGCACAAAACACAAAATAAACAGAAAACAACACACAAACAACTTGTCAAAACGGTTCCACGCACACGCTTATCTGCGATCAAACAAACTTGCCACAAGTCATGATAAAGTTCACCCCTATTGACGAGGCACAAATAAACTTTCAGTTGCTAGTCAGTGCCGTGTCTCTAATTAGCTCTTCTACTCGTCCCTCGTTTATTTTCCCGCTGTTCTCCTTTCATGATTTGGGCAATTGGGTAGGCCGAAGCTTATCCATTACAAGCTGTCAACTTGGAAGTATGATCTGCAAATTCATGTGCCTCTATAGACCACGAGAAAGCTCATTCAATAAGAAGTTGAGTGACATGGCAAGGGGATTTTTAGACGCCAACGAAGTATGCTGTGCAGCTTGCAATTGCTCTTTAGTCTTAACAAATATTGAATAAAACCAATCAATGTTTTTTGCTGAAATAGTCAGAATAAACTTATGCCATATGCAAAAACTCAACAATAACTCATTTTCTTTTCTTTCCTTTGCAGTTTGAAACTATATTCCAGAGAAACAAACACAAATGGCTCGCCAAGTTTGTTAAACTTCAATTCCATGCCGTGGCTGACGATTAAAAATTATATTACTATTATTGGTAATAATGATATTATTAATAGTCATTAATTATAGGTTCAGAAGCCATATGAATGTTGAATTCTTGGTATATAACCCCCTAAGAAAGCTTGTTTTGGGCTTCTTGAAAATACCAGGGAGTGCATAAAACAATAAACAAGCAAGACAAGGCATAAAACAATAGACGAGTAAGATAGGGCAAGGGGAAAAACTTGCCTTTCGGTATGCCTTCCTCAGCACCTCCATTGACAGTCATTTCCAGGCCCATGGCCCTCTTGTAGACGTTGATGACATTGGTCAGCTCGTCATTGGCCGTCAAAATCTCGTCTGGCAATCCCAAAGAAACAAAGTTCAATGGACCTTATTCGTTATTAGCGCCATCTCTCGGCGGCCGCGGGAACTACTGAGCCTCCACGCCATCTTTGAGGCTTCCCCGCCGCCCCTGCTCTGCCTGCATGGCATTCTCCGTGCTAATTCTTACGATGTTTTTGATTTTGGTTTTCCGGATGTGGCAATGGTGTAAGGAATTCCAAAATGCATCATGTTAGCGAGCCTGGATCAGACAGTTGATAGGTTCCGTTAAAAAATGACCGAAACGGCACCAACAATATAGTCACCAGAAAAACTGTTCACCGCACACGTGACAAGCAATGCAAGAAGTAGCTTTTAAAAAAGAATCACAAGCCGCGGTTGTCCCAGCGTCTTAATCGTCGCCGTAAATTTGGTTGCCATGGACGCAGCCGACAGAAATGTGTCATGAACTGTACGGCAAGGAAAGCATTCTCAGCTGCTGTTCACATATGGAAGTGACGGTACTCGATAGAACACCGCATTTTTGTTCTTGTCACTAGAATGGCATAGTCATGTGAGTATAGTGGATTTCAAGTTCGAAGCAAATAGTGATTTTGGTGGAATATTTTTTAATCGAATATTGAATAGTTTCTCAGTCTTTCACTACTGTTGCACGAAAATTAACGAAAACGAAAATTCAGTTGAACTCATGAAGGTCGTTCCCAACCTTTCGGTTGTGCACTTCTAAGCTTAGTTATTTTAATATAACTACCAATATGAACTGCAGCATGTAAACGATAGATTTGTCACAGTTTCTAATCGAGTGGATTTATAAATCTGTTTCCTATTTGCAAATATTCTTTCTTCTATTTCAAATTTCAGTAAAAAAAGAAAACAAGCACGAATGATGAACGCGGGCTGACTCAAGACATCGCTGCCTAACATAAACTTTCGCATAATCGCGGCGGGTAGTGCCATTGAGTGCGCTTTTTACAACGGTTAAACCAGCTGAACTACGAAATTAGGGAGAAAGGAGTAAAGACAGGTGATCGCTGGACTACCAACTATTTAATAAAGATTCTTCGTTTTCCTCTCATTGTCTACTGGCGTTGTGGCTACCTTCTCTTCTTCCTACTTGATTTTTCTGTTCCATCCCGGATACTGGTTTTCTGGAGGAATCTTTTTTCGTTTTCCTGTAGCGCAATAGATGGTGTACTAACGCAATTTTCTTCTTTATCTTCTATGGCCAAGGCCTCAAGTATTTCACGGGCGAGCTGGTCTTTGTGGTGAGCTAATATGGTACCCAGGTCGAGCTTGGCCTCGCACGTGCATGCTCGACAATGAGCGGCTAAATGCCCCGGCCCTGTTAGGGCTCTTATGTTTGCTGCATGCTCACGTGCTCGATCGTTCACGCACCTTCCCGTTTGTCCAATATACACACGCCCACATGACAGTGGTATGTTATACACAGCTCCCTTTTCGCATTAGACATACTTATTCTTATGTTTGGTGTTGCAAGTGCCGGTGTTGTTGGCCTCCCCTAGATTAACCTTCCGGCACATGGCATATCCCTTGTATGGTGCCGAGCACACTACTTTGACGCCCTGCCTTGTGGCAATCTTTTTCAATCTATGTGTGACTCCATGAATATACGGAACCACCGCGAAAGGTGATCTAGGAACCTTTTTCCGTGTGTTAGAGTCATTCTTTTGGCTGGATCTCTTGATGTTTTGGCAAAGTTTTTCACATATGGAGGCTAAGAAGGGTCTCGGATACCCGGCCTTATGGAGTCTGGAGATTTAGGTCTTGAAGCTTCGTCCCATCTGATGTGAACATGTTTTTCTGAGGCTAGCTGTGAGAGCTGTGGTGGCGACCCCTTGCTTTACATTTTTCGAATGTTCTGAGTCAAAAGGAAGGAACCCTTTCCCCGATCGCGTTTCGTACCTCCAACAAACGTGTTCCTTTTGGAAGTCTAAGGCCAAATCCAGAAACCTGATAGTGTTATCAGCGGGAAGCTCGCATGTAAAGGTGAGGCCCATGCAATTTGTTTGAAAATCCCTAAGAGTGGTGTTAAGGCATCTGTCTGATGTTTCATCAACTGGGGTGGTTTTTTTTTTTGTTGTAATATGTTGTAACCGTTGTAATATGTACCACCAACTAGCTCAGCTTCTACCCCCTGAGTGCGCTTCTCACCAAACACCTGCACACTGCGGGGAAGCAATACACCAACAGAGCCTGCGAGCTCCGCGGCATTGCTTCCCCGCAGTGCACTGGCGCTCGGTGAGAAGCACACTCAACGGGGCTAACCCGTCGCAATCAACACTTGGAAAAGTATATGAATATCGCAGTTCACCTTGAAGCAAATACTGGACAGCGTATTATTTAAAACTATTATTAAAAAAATTCGTAAATTTGCACAACACTAGTATGGAAAATTGTTAAACTGCTATTGGAGTCACTAGAGGGCATTGGATTTCAGAAAGGGTCAATTGGGACGCTAGTCATATTGTAGGACAAAGCGGTCGACGCACTCACTCAAGCCCTCGTCTTTTTCCTCCATTTCCCCGGCAAGCCTAAACAGCTTCGGGCGTAGACGCTCACAGCTTTCGAACAGTTCCTGAAACGCCATGCAATCAATAAAATTACATTAAAATTTCACGCAATGTGGAGGGACTCTACCTCCAAGCTCAAGGTCACACCTTGAGATTCCAATCTGGTACACACTTGGTTTGAAGTAATATCAGTACAATAGAACCTGCCTATACTGACACTAAAGGACTAAAAAGATATACGTATGTACTAAAGCAAAGTTGAAGTCATTTTCAAAAAAGTGGAACAGGTATTTGAGGTATTCATCTACAGTGAACATACTGATGTTTGTATGAGAAAAAATTTACTTTTGAAGAACTACAAGATAAAATTACAAGATGTCTCGGTTAAGGTATTTTGATTGTCTAAGATGTTATTTACGCACACGACCAATCACATCCATGGTTAAATGCAAGAGGAACTCTTAAAACCAATGTCATGCAGTTAGTAACTTTGTGAAGAAATTGTAGGCGACCGATACCGTGGAAACTGACTTGTTCCAGCAATAAGGATCTGTGTGCTCGGTGAAGCACATGCCTCATTTCTTAAACCAATTTTCGTCAAATTGCGAGGTCCTCTGGCATGTTTCTAACGTATGGTCAGCAAAATGGCTCAAAGCAACTGGCAACAGTTCACTTCAAGATGGGCCTAAGTGTGGCGCTCTCGCAACAGGTCGTTCAACCAGAGGAATTCACCTAATCTCATTTGGTAGACAAACTCGCTATCGCCCACTATCAGCAAACCCCAACACCCTTACAGTGCATTCTTTGTCTCCCTTCATTTAGATACTTTCGAGCACTGACCTACTTGGAACATGCACGAAAATCTTCACAGCCTTATTCAAATCATCTGTTCAGTAAATAAAAAAAAAATATTGTCTTCCACTAAAGCTAACGTCGACCAGTGATGAACAGACACAGTGCCAAAAATGTGCCGAGGCACAGTACGCCGTCGCATTCTCGCGACATCATTCTCGCATCGAACAAAGTGGACACAGTATCGAGCGGCAACACCTCAGATAAAAGCGGTCAGCAGGAAATCATACAAGAGAAATTCGACAAGCTGAGATCAACGCTAGGTTTCTGACGAAAGCAAAAAATGGCGAGAGGATCTCACCTTCATCAGTTCCTTCTCTTCCGCTGAGGTATCTCCGGGACGGTAGTTGTTCAGCATGTCCTTGAGCACTTTTGCGTTGTTGTGGACTGTCTCGATCTCCACCGTCCGCCGCGCGAGCAGCTCCATTCGCCTGTCCGCCTGCGAACATGCGTGCAATGCTCGCAGCACCTTCTTTGTCCAAATAGCATACATTTGCGCTTGCACAGACCCTTAAAATTGTCGCCACTTCTGAATTCCGAAGCAGATATTCTGGCGACAGATAATCTACTTCGTTCGGCTTGTAGGATGTTGAAAACAGAGAAGACACAAACCTCAGTAGTAGCAAAACAGGAAAAAGAAAGCTAGAAAAACACTGCATGCAAGGACCAGTGTCAACGGCCAGCTTTCATTTCATGGTCCCTTTAAGGTTGCTCATGGGTATGCGCACCCAGAAAACTCTGTTAGATCAAAGCACTTGCCTCCTTAACCATGTTCCTAATAAGCTTGTTGGCTGCTTGAAGGTCCTCTGGATTTTTGCTTTGCAGTAGTTTCTGAAGCATCTGCAGCAGAGAAATCAGATCAACTGTTTCAGCGAGTACAGCTAGGCCTTGTGCTGACAAGAAATAGTGAAAAACTTCAACACTGTTCGAGTTCCCTTCGAAAGCTGCAAAAAGTCACGAGTACGGCAAACTTGATGCTAACATTTACAACGAGGAAAGAATTAAAAAAAAACGAAGAAGGTATATCTTGGCGCACACTTTTACAAGTCTTTTGTACGCATTGTTAGACACGACACTCTGAAGAGCCCACTTCGAATTCGGAAAAGGTTATTTCAATAGACGATTATGGCTTGGAAAGAGAGGCTAACACCTATTTTCTGTGGTAGCTATCTCTCAAAAACGATAAGCCCAGCTTCCAAACAAATCAACAAATCAGCTTTATGGCACAGTGACCAATTGTAAGCAGAGAAGCTTGCCTGAGACTTTTCTTCATCTTCAAACACCGCACTTTGGGTCCTAGGAGCAGGTGGAGGGTTGGGTTCACAATCCTGGAAGAGCAGAAAAATCTGTTGCTCGTTCACTCAGGGCAGCAAAAGAACAAACCAGAAGCTTCCCACGAATCTGTTCCTTTAACGTTCAAGATAACACGCGTATCAGTCAGCTACACGAGCAATGTGACCACTGTGGCAACAGACGGTGAGATGTTCTATTTTGCAATCATGGCTTTCCCAAAACCGACATTGCAAAATGTGCGAAGAGTTGGGGAACTAGACGCTTCTGCCCCAAAATGTCTGAAAAAAATGAGAAACTATAATCACAGATAGCATGAGAATGGCAGCTGGAGGCGGGACAACCGAGAGACGTTCCCACTGCTCTCATTCTGTCAGATCACACAAAGGAGATCTGTACTCCCACAATGTGGATCAGGCAGCAGAAAAAAGAGCGAAGCGGCTGCCCTCACCTCGATGACGTAAACAGGGTCGACGGCAATGACCCCCTGTTTCTTGAGCATCTGGTACGCCTCCTGGATCTTCGAGTGGTGCTTCATCTCGATGCTCCAGCGGTAGAGCATCTCAATGATCTTCTGCTTCACCCGCTGGGAGGCACGGTTTCCCAGGTACTGAAACGGAAATGCAACGGGTGGAGGCAAGGACGACACGACATGCACTGGAGAATTTAGCATAGGAGATGATGATGATGATGATGATAAGGAGTTTTGTGGCGCGAGAGTAACAAGAGCGCCGGGCATGGGGGACAAACTACGTCGGCATACCTTGGGCGAGACGACCTTGATGAGCTCGTTGAGGAAGCGGAACTTGAACACTTCGTCCTGGAACTTGGCTCCACATCTGGTGGCACACTCTTCCAGAACCTGGAAAAAGACCCGCCCCTGTGTTGTCCCAAACCGCCGATAATTGAAACTTCTCGTTGCTAGTCCCTCTTTCCATCCACCGGAAAAATAAGTAGGTATGTCTCCAAATAGAAGTCTGCTAACCACAACAATGTCTCTGGACAAATTGTAAACTAATAAAAAAGGCCCAGTAACCGTACGGGACAAGCGGAAGTGATTGGAATTGTTTGCATTCACTAAGAATCCACAGACCTGACACTGAATAAAAGAAAATATCTATATATCAAAGACTGATAAAAGAAAGATATAAAGCAAAGCAAAGTTTAGGTATGTGTGGTACAATATTGGTAGAAGAATTTTAAGTACTAACAGAAAGAAGGTATTGACAAATGTTTTTTTTTCCTAAAAAAGTGGCATTACTATATAGAGAGACTATACACGTTTGCAAGTCCGGTCTTAGGGCGCCGCCATCTTCCTCAGTGGGGTGCGCTCTTGGGCGCGGCCGTAATCCGATTACGACGCCTTAGCAAGGCTTCGTAATCGGATTATGACTCGACCAAGCGCACCCCAGCCGAGCAAGATGGCAGCGCCCTGAAGCAGGGCTTGCAAACATGTATACAGTATTTGTAAGACATTCTCCTCATCATATACAATATTTCTATCTTTACAGCAATAAGCTGTGCTCAGCTAGTTGGGGTGAAAGAGAAAAACCCTTTAGCTACCAGAAAAGCTGTGAAGAACAAACCAGTAACCCGCCTAACGCAAAGGGAGGGAGGCACGCTGCTCTCGAGCACAGCTCATTTAGTGACAGGCAGCACAGTTCTTTGGAGCAAAATTTGGTTCTTGTCTGAGAATTTAGGGTCTTAAAAAGCCCGAAAAAGCCCAGGTAGGGCCAAGCTTGGTCTTCTTTGGTTAGACTGGGTATCTTGGCCCTAACTCGCCAAACAGGTGTCTTTACCGCTGGTAGTTTGGTTGCCATCTGGCATCTTTTGGCCTACATTGCAAAGAAGTGCGGGAGTTAGACCTCACTGCTGGTTCTTCAGTTCCTACGTAGAATCCTTAACTCGAGCCTGGCACCTTCGCAATTACGTGGCAAGCCATGGAAATGACAAGGGAAAGTACTCTGACACTAACTAACGCCTCGGAGCAACACCGCATTAGGCCGAAGTTCGGCCATTAGGATTGCCAAACGTGTCCCAAGCTAGGTGTTTCTCTGGTGTGCTGTGTATCTTACCCTAGCCTATGCTACATGAATCTGTCTACCGCCCATTACCAAATTTGTGAGATTTGAGAAAATACGCACAGTACATTTATATGTAAAATTGATGACTGGACAAGCGCCCATCCCCGATTTTTGCGATTTTCTCCAAAGTTTGAGTGGGCGCTTGCCCGGTATTTTACGGTGATCTCCCTAGGCTATACCGACCTACCCCACACTACCGTCATATCCCGAAAGAGAGCCCACCTAAAGCCAAAAGCAAATCGGGTGAAAATATGAAGTGGGCTAACTTTCGGCGTGCGATCGAAGAAAGTTTATCTCTGGGGATATTGATGAAGGAAAAAAGGAAGCATACTGCCAAAGGTAGTAAAAGACAAAAGAATAATACATACAAACGAACTGAAAAACTGATACAAACAAATCCGCACGTATAGGATCAGAAGAATACTGGTGTAAACGGATCCTTGTGTAGGAAAAATGGCCGATACAAACAGGTCAACAAGCGTGTCCCCTATCCACCCGGGTGCACTATTCCTGCATCTTACAAGCCGCAGTCCCGCTGCCGACACGTCGTACAAAAGACGGTCTGCAGTCATGTTCGAGGCATGCATGCTTCCAAAGTGCTCAGGGCATGTCCGCAGCGAACACCGCGTCTTTTGTGTCATGTACGAGGGGTGCGACTTTGGCTTTGGTGAGGAGACGTGCTACGGCTTCACCAGCAGCGCCTGTATGGCCTCCCGTTCCTGCGGAGACTGGATCTTGTGGGCAAGGAAGCGCAGCGCGTGGTTGGTGCCGTCCCGCTCCACCAGGATCCGGTCGCAGAGCTGCTGCACCGCGGCCACGTCCAGGTCCCGGCTCAGCGGGTTCGTCGCACGCGCTGCGCACGGACGCCAAAGCACCTGGTCACGTCTCGGGCACGGCGACGGGAGAGCGCCGTCCAAACGGGACAAGCTTTCTACGGTCGCAGCACCTGGTACCTATTGGAAGTTGAGCTTTTCCTCCAATTCCAAACCGCCTTTGCACATTTTTTGTTTTATTTTGTCAGGGTCGAAAGCTGAGCTTTGCTCATGCCCATGGACAGATGCTTAGAGCGCACCCATCACGTGGGTCAAGAAAGCCACTAGCAGGCTCTGCTGGCTGTTGTCAAGACCTCCACCGTCGCTTTTAATCCCCAATCTCACGAAAACAAGAAAGAGGAAAAGACGGCAGAAAGCAGGTAGAGAGGAAAGCCATGCTGTTTGTGCAATTAATGTCCAAACTGAAAACGGAAAGGCAGGTCGCCAACTTTGATCTTTTTAGAAACTGCAGGTTTCGTTTTGCCGTGACAGAATTTGCTGTATCCTGTTTAGAACGCCCTTAGAGGAATGCCGAATAGTAACTTAAAATATACGTCTCATGTTCCGAAACAAGTTAAACATGATAGACTTACTCAGCTAATGATAATCACACGCTTGCATCTTGAACGGATGGCTTTATTTTTTCGTTTCAAAGGACTAATTCAAGTGAACGTTCGAAGATCAGCCGTCGGAAAGCGCGATACATCCTGGGAGACGTGACGTCGACTGGCCCAGCATGGGCAAAGCTGCTTGTGGGCTAGCGTTGTTATGAGCTCCACTACATGGTGTCCTCAACGCTTTACAACCTAGCCAATTTAGCTGCCCCACCCTCCCTACTCCCCGCAGGAATTGAATAGGCCGGGAGAGCGGGGAAATCCGATTCGACGGGGGTTGCGCACACGCAGCTTGCCACCGTGCTTCCACGGAGCGGCACTGTTTTTAAGTTCAGAGTGACATAACGACACGGCTCGTCCCTTTTAAATAATGTTTTGGTGTCTTTTCAAACGAAAAATTGGGGTTTCCATGGAGTGGCCATAACATGGTTGACATTTAGACAATGGGCACTAAAAGTTTGATGCAGTATCCCTTTAAAGGAACACTGACACCACCAAAACAATTTTTTTTTTTTATTTTTGGCCAGGCCACCAATTATGGTTGTCAGAAGACTATCCAATCAATACTTTGCTATAGCATCACATATATTTTTAATAAAGTAAAAAAACGCAACTGCTCGAAACCAAAACTGGACTAGGGAGGAAGAAGAAATATAGAGGAGGGGAAAGTTACAAAAAATCACATAACTGTGCAATTTTTTTTTTTTTTTTTCAATTAACATATTTGCATCATTTCAGAAGGCACAAAAAATGGGTATCAAATCTTCTGTCCATTTTTAGTATTGAGTGTGTGCCTTCGGTGATCCACGACTTTGATTATCTTTGGTGGTTGTGTCTAAACCATAGGAAACGGCACGTGACCACAGAGGAGAGGGTGAGCGCGATTCAAACTGGCCGGTTCTCAATCGACGCTTTTCGGGCGAAAAGAAAACGAATTTCGAGCCGCAAATTGTGCTCTGGGTAGTTGGGCTCTCATATGTCATGTACAAATAAAAATCTCGGCGAGCTTAAATACCTCATCGGTGTTCCTTTAAACGGCCGTCCAAACAGTACGCAGGAGATTGTGTGCACGGCAAAAAAGATGCGCGGGCTTCTCAAAAAGCGTAGAAGTTGCAGAGCGCGCGCATCTGTTTTTAGCGAGGACGTCAACTATGCAGAGAGCATGGCTTGCCTCCCCATCTCCTCACTGTTGTATTCCGTCCTTTCTTGTTTTCGGGAGATTGGGGACCGACAACAACGGCGGAGGCTCTGAAAAACAGCCAGCAGAGCATGCCAGTGGCTGTCCAAGGATGCAAGTGGAGGCAAGCTTTCACACAGGCTGAAAAAAAACATGCCAAAACAAAACGAAATTGGAGGGAAAATTCTACTTCTGGTACAGCAGATGCTGTGACAGCAGAAAAGGTGTTCCGTTTGAATAGCCCTTAGCAGAAAAAAAAGTTTAACACTGCAGATGACGAATGCAAAAGCAGCATGAAAAACAAACATTCAGATTCTCCCAGATGCAAGGTTCGTTCCCTTGTTCTTGCAACTTGCTTAGAATTTCTGACAAGGTGATCCTTAGGTGTTTGAAGGGCTAATTGATAACAGCAAGGCCCATAGATCATTGTTGTCTAGAAAACCCCTCGAGTTTCACTCTATACTGCGTTTCACTTTGAGTACAAGCATAGCAGAAGGTATAACTTGCAGCGTCCCTGCCAAGCACGTGCCTTCGTTGAGTGCAAGTGTCGTTCAAAGGCAACAGGCTTGTGCTAGTATTTCCAGCTTTGCACGCACATAAAGTGGAGAAAACTATAGTCAACTTTCCCTGCACGAAGATTCAATGACAGTTGTGAGGGCTAATTTTCTGGAACCGAATACCTAATGCTGAAACTTGTCAGCCCGTGCTCAAGATTTATTTACGACACTTCAAATGGTTACCTGAAGCGAGTATGAACTACGGACCGTAAGAACAGAAAGCAATGCAAGGTGAATATGAAAAACAAGAGGTAATACAGAATCATTAACGCATAAACATGGCCTTCAATGCACACCCTAAAGAAACTGCCACAGAAGCACATTTCATTGCTTTCTGCAGCTGGTAAGAGCAGCCAACACACTTTGACTCGAAAAGTTGTACTTTTTCATAGAGCGTCGTGCTTCGTGGAGACAAAGCTTTGGGGCAGTTCGAACGGTATCCTTTTAAACTGTCACACTGAAGAGTGCGAGTTTCCTGTAGTTGACAAGTGCCTTCGTTTGCAGCATCGAGCACGTAGCATCTGCTGACAGCAACGAGCTGTCACTTAATTGTTCAAGCAGACAGAAAAGGCTACAGCTAAAAAAAAAATGGAATAGATATTTATTTTAATGCTAACTAAAAAACAGACATTCGTTTGAACGAAAAATACTACTATACACATAAGCGATGTTGTAGAAAATCAGAATGTCTGCGGGGCAAGTATGAAGAAATCAGATGGCAAATTTGGGCTGCAAGTTATTCCCACACAGAATCCAATAAGGATGTTACATTCTTTCTGATCACACACAATTCTTAGTAAGATAGTCATTAAGATGACAAATGAAACAAAAAAAAAAAAACAATATTATTATGCCCATTATCTGCATCATTACAGTCAAGGTAATTCCAGAGTCCATTCTGTATGTCCTTGCGATTCCTCGGCAAAATAAAACTTTCATTCTCAGTGAAGCCCAGCGTTACACTTTCTGCTCAGATAGATATAGACGTTCTTGTAATATAAAAACAAAACAAAAAAACACTAAAACAAAAAAAACAAAACAAACAAAGTATCAAAACTAAATCAAGTTGTATCGTTTGTTCAGCAGCCACATACAAGGATGTGTATGTGTCTAGACACGTCGTATAGTAGTCTATTCTTCATTTCAGACAAAAAAAAAAGTCTGTAATAAGCATGTGCTTGAAATGGCAGCTCGACAAGGTCACGTCGCAATCTAAGCAACAAAGGCAGTCAAAAGAGCTATAGCTGGGAGAGATGGAACAAATGTCTGTTGCGAAGAAGTGCCCATAAAACAACGAAATACAGCGCGATAGTACAACAAAACCACGTTCAGCAAGTGTAGTGCGAGAGCTGGTGTTGCAGACCTTTCAGTTGTTTAAGGTGTTAATCGCTGATTGAATTAACACATTATTATAGTCAGAGCCTAAGAAACGCAGGGCAGGGCAAGTCCTGAGCGTCTCATCTTCTCTCCGCAGCCAATGAGAGTGCGGCATTAGGCGATAAAGAACCCGAGGGACCAATCACGAAGCACGAACGTAATAACCCATGCCCTGGCGTCCCCAAGTTGTCAGTGATTATGATGGAACAAAGTTCCTAAATGCAAAAGGGCGAGGGACCTAACCTTCGTTTGAACAACTCAAGTCCGGCTTTTATCCCAATTCAATTTCGTTAATTTAAATAATACATTCCGGTGAAAGACTTGTGTACTGGTACTGTAAACTCCCCGCTTCACAACGATTTTTATGTGTAAATTGTTTTTTGTTATTGTTTTAAAAACTATTTTCACTTCCCATTCTCGCTCTCTCAAAGAGGAAAAAAAAAAAAGTATGGGGGAAAGGATAGTAGCAGTCGATAATTTCATTGAGAAAGTCTGAATTTGCCTCTACTATGCGATTGCGCACAGCGCTTTGGCGAGTCTCGCCTGCGCGTTCCGCAAAACATCTCTACTTCTTTTTCTTCTTCACTAAAATTCCTGAACGATCACCACCGTTCAAAAAAATCGCAACTCCGTCTTCCAACTTATACTCCGAAAACATTTACAAAGGGTGTCCCGAATACCAAGAAAGAAAAAAAAAAAAAGTATGTATATAAGCTTTGAATACGAGATCACTTTTTCCAAGTTTCGATTTCACGCCACGTAGACCCCAAGTACGCTGACTTCCTCAGACTTAATTTAACTTATTAAGTAGCAATGGAAAAATAAAACGAAGTAACGGTGAGAGGGACAGACGAATCGTACAATCTAAAAATATCGAAGCCGCTGAAGAGGAGATAAACACCGCATAAATTTACGCTCCGATTGCTCGGAGATCGACGATGCGCGATCGGTGGTCAAAGGCTACGAACGTCACCGCTTCGCTAGGCAGTTTTAATGGCCCATTCGTCGAATCATACTGCGATACACTAATAGAGAGGCAGCAAATCGCACGCCAGCGTTTCGGTTTTATCGGTAGTTGGCATAGCATCCCGAACATTCCAAATTCTCAGCTGACCGCTCGCTCCGAATTCCCGTGCAGGGCGACGACCGGCGCGAGCGCCAACACTCGTCGCTCGGCGCCGAAATCGTAAGGCTAAACTTAGTTTATGCGAGTTTGTGGATAAAGTCGAGGTTTTTAGACTGGTGCAGCTGCGCGACGCCGGTCAGGCGAATCGAACTTACCTAAGAGAGTGTCAAACGAACTGTCGTCGTCCATCTTGAATTGCCGGATTGGATCGGCTCGGATCGGCTAGAATTGCGGTTAGGGATGGTAGCCGTTGCCAACTTGCGGAAATCGGCCCTCTTTAGTAGAAAATCATTCCTACCAGTTTAGAATATATAGTCTTACCAGGTGTTTTGACAATAATGATAATCATCTTTATTTGCAGGCGAAACGTTACCCCAGGTGGCCTCAAAAGTTATTTTTAAAAAAATAAGCAAAAAAAAAAAAATAAGAAAAGGGGCGAGAGCCCGTGCGCTGGTGCTGATAGCCTGCCACCCAGGATGGGAAATAACGACAGAACAATTACAATAAGAACAGTTCAGAAACAAAATTATACGATCGGCCTTTCCTTATTTTTTTCGCAGGAGTTGCGGTGACGTCAGAACGAGGCCGAGCTCTGATTGGCTCAGATTGGAAGGATCGGCCACTATCCTCCCAATCGGAGCCAATGAGAGCTCGGCGTCGTTCTGACGCCACCGACGCCACCGATACTGCTGCGGATACTGCTGCGTTTTGCGACAACGCAACAGATGGCTCGCTCACACAGCTGCGCCCCAGCATTTAATTTAAAGGAGTCATGAAACGCTTTTCAAACTTTTTCCTGTTTAGCTTTCCTCCTCAACTCATAAGTCGCGCATTCTACCAAACAGCTGAAGAAAACGGACTCTCGAACTCTCGTTTATGTACCCGGACACATCCATTCTCCCCCAAGAAGATTAGCCCGTCGCTCAAAACTCAGACAAAAGTTGCTTTCCCCACCCCGTTCACCCCGAAGCTAACAGTGCTGTGGAAGCTACGTGCTCGTTGGGCCAGCCACACTTTGGCCACGTGATCGCGCTCCTTCGCGCATACCCACGCGCAGAGAATGAGGTCAGGCGATGAAAGGGAGGCGGCTGATTGGTCCGGCAAGCGCGTAGCTTCCACCACAATGTCAGCTTAGGGATGAAGGGAATATGTGAGGTCCGGTGTCGTGTGACGTGCGTTTGGGCCCGGTGACGCGCTGCGGGGACCGCGAATGTATCACAGCGAAAAGGCAGAGAGCTTTCGAAGGGAAGGAAGTGCGAAATAGTCCGCTGTGTATACAAATGTTCGTACCGAAAGTCAGGCTTCTGACTTTCCACCTTTTTTTCTTTTGGCCTACTGAATGATGTGCTATTAGTAAAATCCCAATATAAATTGATTTATTCCAGCCTAAAATTCGTTTCATGGGCCCTTTAAAAAGCCTCAAACAAAAATAATCGCGGTTTTTTCTTCGAGAATTTGTGTTTTTTAGAGACACAGCGTTCCGATTTTCGGCGTTGTTTTCAAGTGTCGAGGCCGAGTTCGAAGCCGCCGTCTTGCAAAGACCGCAGACGGCTTGAGTATCTCTCGTTACGGGGTCCACGCGGGGTCTCGGTGGGGGTGACCCCAGAGGGACGGGCCAAACTTGCGCCGTTACTAAAAAAAAAAAAAAAGTAATTAACTATACAGTTACAATTACTTGGCGTAAAAATTAATGGATGCCCGTTACAAATTACTCGCCGTAAAAAGTAATCGATTGATTACTTCGTTACTTTACTCACTTACTTTTGCGTTACTACCGAGCAACACAAAATAAACATGAACTATCTACTGCGTGGGGGGGGGGGGGGGGGGGGGATTTCGGGCCCCATAAAAAATAAAACATAATATCTACCCATTATTTCAGGTTCCTCTATGACCTCTTGTGCATGCTTCACACATCCGTGGACAAGATTGTGCAGAACACAGATCTGCGCGAGGTGAGGGACAAGGACGAAGAGAGCGCGGAGCGGACAAGGCTCGATGTTGAGACGGGTCGAGCGGCACACTGCAGTTCCGAAGACCTGGATCATGCCATCGCTGCTTCCGCTGCGACTTTCGTTGGTGCCTTCGGGGAGTACATCGCGAAGACTGGATCAGATGAGAGTATTCTTTTCCAGTTTGAGAATGCTTGTTCCTGCGCGGTCTCCCAGACGAACTTTTGTTTTGATGACAACGACGGTGGTTGCAGCAACTCTGCTATGCCTCCGAATAGCCCAAACCGACCCGAGAGCGCTCAATAATTATGTGATGGTTCGAACACCGCGTCGGGTAAACCCCGCCAAGTGGTTCTCCGATTCCCTATAAACAAAGAGAACGTTTGCAGACTGCCCCATTTTCCGTGCACATCCGAAAAGGCGCGTTTCTTGTATCGTCTCAGTCGCCGTGCCTCACGCGCAGCTGCGCATGCTGTGTAAGCCGGCCGGCGAGGCACGTTTCCGTGAAAGTCCTGTTTCCGTCCTCGGTGTTTTATCCTTTCAAGCAGAACGGGACTCGGGTTCGGGTCCTGGACTTTCGAATCGAGGAGAGAGTTTTTATGGCCCCACGTGGGGGGCAGCGATCCCGCACGTGATTCGCTTAGCATGTGTTGGCGCGTGGGTCCACCAACCGAATGTTTTCAGGGCCCTGACTGGACGGCCAGGGCGTCCGACAAGCTGTCTTGACCCCTGGCCGGGCAGGAAGTTTGGAACGGAGGAAATCTTCGAAGACACTGTAACGGACGTCGTTTCTTTTTTTTAGTTCCGGCAACGTACGATAGACCTGACTTGAGGTCCGACCAAAGATCACCACCCCCGGCGGAGTGGTCTCGCCACTTCAACTGCGCTTGAAGGCATCAGCGTGGAAGGAACCAGACCTCATCAACTACCACTGCTGGCTGGTGAGATCAATCTCAGCAACAGACAGGAAGAACAACGTCGCGCGATGACAATAGACAAGCAGTGAAACAGCTCACTCCCAGTCAGGAGCCGCAACGACGAGGCAACACCTGGAAATGGCCAGAGACCCAGGATGGTGGCACGCCGGTGCAAGATGGCGGCGTGCCACCCCAAGAATTCGAACGGGCGCAGACCGGTGAGATTGTTCCAAACCTGGCGCGCTTTGGCGATGCGGCAGACGATACCGAGTGGCCGCCTCCATCCTAGGGAAGGAAACGCCAACGTGGCTTTGAGACATCGGGCCGCTCTAAACAAGTGGACAGTGGCGGATCCAAAGGGGGGGGGGGGGGAGGCGACAAGGGCGGCCCCCCCCCCCCCCACCCCCCCCCTACAAAGTCGACCCCTCCCCCTCCCCCCTTCTCGGAGGGCAACTTGACATGGGTGGACCCCCCGGTGCCCACGAAAGAATGGGAGAATAGTATACTTACGAATTTCCGGCCCCCCTCCCCCCCCCCCCCCCCCCCCCCCCCAGAAAAAAAAACAAAAAAAACGGTGCTTTGATCGGTCGGGAAAATAGGAGTTTGCGCCTACACTGGGAAATAGATCAAAGAGGCCATCCAACGCGCCGGCATTCAGACAACGAACCAGTACACCATCCTCCAAAATGGAAAGGCCAACGCCATCAGCATAATGACAAAGGATCCTCTCTGCCTTGACAAATTCCTTAGAGATTCGCAAAGGAGACGGGGTGCACCCGCT